TCCCCATTTCACATTTAAGATGCAGAAAATGTAACAGATAACTCCCAAACTTGAGAATTTATGCATTCCCTTGAAACAGACACATTTTTAGGTTACCCACAGGCTCCCTAAGGGTCTAAAGATCCCACATTGACACTGACTTGGGCAGTGACAGAGCCCAGAGCACACAGCCAGGCCAGCCTGATTCCAAGGCTTCCTTTTGCCAGTGACCTCCTCTTCGCCTTCTTGAACGTCTGCCATGTGTATGGCACATCTGAGCAATGGAATCTCCATGAGTCTGTAGGAGAGCTGGGTCTTACTAACCTACCCAAGTACTATGCAGCACCAACCATGAGCTACCAGGGCAAAGGGAGACGTGACTCTAGTAGGCTTGCACCTCTACTGTGCTTAGGGTGGGGGTCTTCGGGTCTAACTCATGCCTGGCCTGGCGGGTGTGTTCTCCACTGTAGAAGCCAAGCGGCCAGTCAACCTCTGCAAACCCAACCCGTGCATGAACGAGGGCAGCTGCGTCCTGCAGAATGGAAGCTACCGCTGCGAGTGCCGGGATGGCTGGGAGGGCCCCCACTGCGAGAACCGTGAGTGGAGCTCTTGCTCTGTATGTGTGAGCCGAGGACAGTATTGTGAGTCCTGCCAAGTCCCACAAACTCAGCAGAAGGCAGGTTCTAAAACATTGATCCAGTGGAAGGAATTATTCAATCGTTTATTTACCCACAAAACATTTAGTGAGTACCTCCTGCATCCCAGGTGGTGGTCTAAGTGCGAGAACATAGCGGTAAACAAATGAATACCACCTCTGCCCTCATGGAGCTTCCATTCTAATGTGGAGACAGACAACAGCAAGTTAATTGTCATACAACGTGTGGTGTGTTAGACGGTGCTAAGCACCCTGGAGAAAGTAATGATAACTAGCAGGGAGGCCTCGGTTGGGAGCACAGTGGATCCAGGGTGCAGGGAGGCAGGGGTGGGTAAATGTGGTGGTGGGAGCTGCTGGAAAGTCTTTTGGGGTGTTTCTATTTGCTCAGTAAAATGGGAGGAATAGCTGAGAGTGAGGAAGAGGAGGTGGCGCTGGAGGTTTGAGAGAAAAGATGGTAAGTGACAGTCAATAGAAGGGTAACAGGATAGGACCTAGAGAGTGATTGTTGGGAGGTATTAGGGGCCCACTTACGGCTCCTGTTCCTGAGTTTGAAGTTAGAACAACCAGAAATCAGAAGATGAGTCTAGCCAGAGCCTTGGGTTTTTGGCTACCGGCAGAGGTTGGCTTCCGAAGGCCAGGGAGAGGGTGTAGAGGACAATCAGATGGGGTCTCTGATCTGGCATCTTCTGCTGGGGGCGAGATGGGTTGTGGAGTAAGGGCAGGGGCTGCTGGTGGGCCAGGAAGGGGATGCAGACACTCCTGTCCTCAGAGTTCACTTCCTTCCCCAGGGTTCTTGAGAGGAGATGCCCCAGAAGAAAGTGGCTCCCGCGCAGGAGGGCAGCAGCTGTACCCCTCCCGGCAACTACAGAGAAGGCCTGGGCACTGAAATGGTGCCTGCCCTTTAGAACATCTGTCCCCTCGGGGTCCTTCCTGCTGTGTCCAGAACTGTTCTCACCAAGGTAGGAGGATGTCCCGACTGCAACCACGCTGCTTAGGGACAAGAAAGCAGCTGATGTCACTGGCTGAGGACGTTGTTGAAACCTTTTGATGTGTAAGTAAAGACCGACTTTCTGTACCTGCTTGTGCCTTGTTGATGCTCTGTCATCTGCCACCTTTCCCTTGATAAACAAGGGGTCCTGGAGACTTAAATTTGGTGGCCTGTCTGATGTCCTTTGCCCACAATCAGTGCTAGCCAGAATGTTGTTGACACTAATGCCCAGCAGAGGCCTTTACTTTTGGACCTCGAAGGCCATGGCCTTTCAAAATGGGAAGCAGCAGCTTTTCCGCCTCCCCAAGACATTCTGGATGCATTTGCGTTGAGTCTGAAAGGGGGCATGAGTGGCGTCTGTGACTTCTGGTGACTGCATTTTGTGTGTGTGGGAGAGACTTGAAAAGATTCCAGACTGAAATGTGACCAGTTAATCAGCTTGCTTCATGATGGGGGAGAGGCTGAGTGTGCAACTGGCCGAGGTCTGGAGGGGCCACATGAAATCGGTCTGAGTAGTGAGCAGTGTCCACTTGAAGGGCCTTCCTTTTAAAAAAGTTTATGGCTGGAGGCTGTGGCTCACACCTGTAATCCCAGCACTTTGGGAGGCTGAGGTGGGTGGGTGACCTGAGGTCAGGAGTTCAGCACCAGCCTGGCCAACATGGTGAAGCCTTGTCTCTACTAAAAATACAAAAATTAACCAGGTGTGGTGGCGGGTCGCTGTAATCCCAGCTACACAGGAGGCTGAGGCAGGAAAATGGCTTGAACCCAGGAGGCAGAGGTTGCAATGAGCTGAGCTCGTACCACTGCACACCAGCTTGGGTAACAAGAATAAAACTGTCTCAAGAAATAAATTTACTTAGAAGGGGTTAATTCTGGCATGTTTATGGAATTCTTCCCTTATTCTCCTTTTAGTGGGGCAAAGAAAAGATTCTTAAACCCAAAAATATAGGATAAAGAAATTTACACAGATTTTTGCTTTTTAAAGCATTTATCTTACGCTGTCTAGGTTTTAGTTTTGTTTTGCTTTACTACACAGTTTTTAAAGGAATATTTCAAGAAATGTTGGTTATTTATTAAACAGGAATATTTGTACCTATGTGGCAAAAAGGCTTATTTGGAATATTCTCTAGCAAACTAGATACCCTTGTAATATTTAGGAATTACTTCTTCCCCTTGGTTGTGTTGTTTAGAGTTGGATTTTCAGTAGAAATCTTTCTAGAGCTCTGACATAACTTGAGACTTTGTCTTTTTTTTTTTTTTTTTTTTTTGAGATGGAATTTTGCTCTTATTGCCCAGGCTGGAGTGCAATCTTGGCTCACTGCAACCTCTTCCTCCCAGGTTCAAGCAATTCTCCTGCCTCAGCCTCTTGAGTAGCTGGGATTACAGGCATGCACCACCACACCTGGCTAATTTTTGTATTTTTAGTAGAGACAGGGTTTCACCATGTTGGCCAGGCTGGTCTCAAACTCTGGTCTTCAGGTGATCCCCCTGCTTCGGCCTCCCAAAGTGCTAGGACTGCAGCTGTGAGCCACCATGCCCATCCTGTTTTTCTTCGAAAGATAAATATTTTAGCATAATGTTTTACATACTAACATTCAAGGGTACTTTGGCTTTAAGAACTTCAGGATTTCTGGTGCAGGAAAAGTGACTGAAGCAGTATCACCATGATATGAAATATTAAAAAGTCAGGTGGACCAGGTACTGAGTCGTAACAGTCATCTGTGTTCAAGGGATACTCTCATTGATCATTTTCTGTTATTATGTTGCCCTTCACAGAAGGCAATGTCCAGGGCAGGATCACCCTGGCAGATGCTGATCTGTGATGTAATAGAAATTACATGAATTCATGGTCTTTAATAACAGTTTAACCATGTTATAATGTAGGCTTTTTATCTTGTTCAGGGCTGGTATTTGGGTGCCTTGATTGAATTACTTGGATTTAAACAGCAAACTGTGGGCTCTGGACTTACATAGTAAAGGCCTTTACTGTTTCTTTGTAGGAGATGGGGATCCCAGCCTTTAAAACATTTTTTTTTCCCTTTTAGTAGTGAGGGTGCCATTGAATAGTTCACCTTTTGTGTGTCCCCATAGTAGGAGATGAGAGTGCTATCCTATGGCCTAATTAGTCAAGCCTTTTCTTTCATTTAATAGAAATTAGCTTTAATTTCTAGCTTCAATTTTTATTTTTACCTTTAATTATACAAGTAAGATGGAAACGTTTTCTTTGCAACAATTAAAATATTGCATATAGGCCTTAAATTTCCTATTTCCTCTGAATGATCCTGATTCCAGTCATCTTGCTGAACATGCTAGTTCTAATAATTGACCCTTGCTTTTCTAGAGAAATACTTCCACATGCTAGTTTTGTCTCTTCCTTTTACAGCTGTATACCACTTCTGGGTCATTTTGCATTGCCTAGGACTTCCAGAATAATGTTTCACAAATAGCAGTAGTCCCAGGCATCCATATCTGGTTCTTGACTTTTTCATCATTATAATTGTTTTCTATGGGTTACTTGATCAGTTTCCTTAATTACTACTTGGACAACGTTCCCATTATTGGTATGTACTTTCCAGTATTAGTATATTCCTAGATGAACTAGGAGTATTTTTTTATGTGTTGAGATTTATGGTATACTTTTTCCTCTTCCTTCAAGATATTTTTTTTTTTTACATTTAATCTGTTAATTTGATGGATTACCCTTTTGTATATTTTCAATCATTGAGCCACTCTTGTTTTTTTAGATAAAGTCTATTACACACCACTGTATAAACCCTGCTGAATTTCATTTGCTAACATTTTATTTCAGATGCTTTTAATCTGTATCCAACAATGAGACTGGTTTTCTTGTACAATTTGTTTTGAATTTTTGGTATCAGAGCTATACTAACTTTGTAGTGGAAAATATATATAATTTGAAAAATTTTGCATCTGTATGTAAGGGCTCCATTTCAGTTCTATTTTATATTGCCTTAGGTTGTCTCTATTGTATTAGCCTTTTTAATGAACCAGATTTTGGTTTTGTCATTTTTAAAATAAACAGATTTATGCTATAAACTTCTTTAATTACTACTTGGGCAACCTTCCCAGTATTGGTATGTTGTGTCTTTTTTCCCCCAAGAATTCTTTAAGAGTATATTTCAACTTCTGGGCATACTGATTTTTTATTGACTTATATGTGATCAATTTCTGCAGATGTTTCCTGTGTCTTTGGTACACTGTTAACTGTACAACTAAAATTTGCTTCCTGCCTTATCTGTGCTCTTTGATTCAAGAAGGCTGAGTCTCCTGCTAGGTATGTAAATAACCAAAACATTTCCTTCCTTGAGAGCCCCCCAGGCCCTGCCCCATGTCATTTCATGAAATACAAGGAAAACCTCAAATACAATGAACATTTTATTTTTTAAAAAATCTAACTCACCACTTGGTAAAAGATTACCAAATGTTTATGACAGAGGAAATAAATGCCCTGGTATTAGAAAGACAATAAAAAAGACCTTTAGTTCTCAGGAACCAGTGTTAGAGAACTCTGATATACAACCCCCAGAAATGAGGCAGAGATAGATGAAATGTTTCAACCTGTGTTAAAAAAAAAAAAAAAAATGCCATCGGAGGAAAAGATGTGGAGCACAAGGAACAGCACTGCCAATTTTAAGAGGGAGACCACCCTAACCAAAAATCACCACTTTGTTCTTGGAAGGGGAATGGACATTAAACAGAACTTAAAATCAGGGACTAAGAGAGCATTATATTAAATAACTCTTTCCTTAAAAATGGCCTGACCACAGGAACGAATCTGTAAACACAGGGTAATTTTTTTCCCCTATAGTAAAGCGTCAGTTTAATCTCAAAAGACACTTTCACTGTTCTAAATGAGAAGATTTTAAATATTTTTTCCTATATAATACAGCATCACTTAAAATTTTATTTAAAGACAGTTGATTCAGGTCTGCCTTGGACTGGAAAGAAGTCAAATATTTTCCCCATCACTGTTTCTCAAAACTCATGTCATAGATGGTTTTATAGATGATATCAATGCTGTTTAAAATCACTGAAGACTGAGTTGGGCCTCGTAATATTAGAAGTGAAGGCAAAGATGGTTTAATCCCCAACTGCTAAGTATTAGATAAGAGATGATGGTCTTCTCACTCACCAAAGCCACATGACCCATAAAACAGGGCCCTGCTTCCTTGATTCATCTTCCACCAAAGTCTAAACATGAGAAGGTTTTCACTATTTTAAAATCTTGATAAAGCAATGGATGAAAACTTCAAAAAAGAAACACAGAGCATCCCTAAATACAATGTCTTGTTTATGTCCAATAGACTTAGGTCTCCAAAGAAGCATCTTTTTTTGTTTTATTATTTCTTTTGGCTCTGAAAGAGCCTCCTCTTAGCTGAAGCTCTCCATTCACAGTACTTCAGTCTTTGCTTTTTCTTCTAAACAGACTCACCTTTTTGCAGAGTTTTTGCTTTAACAAAGCAGGATTGTCACCAAGGTCCATACTGACATGAGAGTCTTTAGTTGAAGCTTGTTTTCTAACTTGCTCCTTTCTTCTCCCATTCCTAGGGTACCATTCAAATACCAGCACCCACCCACAAAAAAGAAAGTTAGTTATCCACTGTAGCAACCTTGACATACATAGAAAAAAATGTGAGAAAAACTATTTTAAGCATAGAAATAGGCATAGAGATGACAAATATGTTTCAAACCATGTGTGTTCATCACTGCTTAACACACCTATTCAGAGATTTTGAGACTGTGGCAGAACAAAGAGTGCTGTAAGTGATGTCTGCCACAGCAGCAAGGGAGCGGAGGCTCAGATGCTTGCATGGATTTATTAGCCACTGTTGTGGGTGCCTCCAAATATCTCTAGCAGGTAAGCAGGATAGGAGCAGAGCCTGCCAAAAGCAAAGGCAGCTATAGGCATGTTCTTTAATGTACAAATGAGTAAATGACACTTTTTGTCTAGCCCCCAGGGAGAAACCCCATCATAGCTTGCATTCCTCATTTACAGCTTGCTGTGAACTTTGCCACTAGTTGGGTGGGCAATTCATACCACCTATATGAGTCTGTTTTAGTTTTAATGGTAGAAGTCCTGTGGGGTCACTGACTTTTTGATTTGAAAACTCAGTCGCAATCTGTCCCTGAGCTGCAGCTGTCCCCCTGGAATCTACCCATAACTGTGTGGAGGGCAAGGACATGAACCGAGTGCAGGCACCTTTCTGGTTGATCAGTGCCAGAGACTGAGCCAAAGGGGCATTCCAGAGCCACTACCCCTCCCTGGTGAGCGTTGAGCCCTCGTTCAGAGCAGGTGCCAAAGCCACAAAGCACCACCTGGGTCAGAAGATGGGCCCTACCTTAGTGACAATTCTGCTGGCCCCAAGGGAGGCTGAGAGTGGCTGCTTACCTTGGCTTTCTGGAGGACCGTGCCTTTGCCTGTGACCATGACCGAGAGAGGCCTGTTCTTGAGCGTGGTTGCAGAGTTGACTGGGGTACAGTCTGGGGCAGAGGTGGATGTGACAGCTTTGGGCTGTGGTTACAGGAGGAGAGCAAGGACTGAGTCAAGGGGAGGAACATGTGACCCACCTACCCCAACGCATGTCCAGAGAGCCCTGCAAGCAGGCCAGGGGCCGTGGCTCCGGCACTCACTCGGGGGCTCACGTTCTCCAGGTGGGTGGTATCCACGGTGGTGCCCAGTGTCACAGGTCCCGCCTCAGCCTTCTTCAGGTTGTCCTTTACCTCCATGATGCTGAGTTCCAGGTCCACGCGCCTACTCTCCTCCACCCGGCACTCCTCGTCAGTTTCCTTCAGCTTCTGCTCCAGGCTGGCGAGGACTTCCTTGTCTGGAAAGAATTATGCAGACCTCAGAGAATAGCATTTCAGCCCAGGCCAGGGAGCTCTGTTGGGTGGAGGCAGGATCTACACACCCCGCCACCCACACCTGAGAAGAACCACAGGTCTGCCCTCAACACGCAGAGCTGGGAGGAGCCTGGGTGCTCCAGGCAGCCTGGAGGCCTGCACGAGCATTCTGCAAAGGCTGGCAGGTTCTGGAGGAGGAGAGCTCTGGCTTCACTAAAGGGTATGAATCTGAGGCCTAAGTCCCTTCTTGTAGCTTCTCAGAGACTCTGGGTTGTTTTGACAGCAACCCAAAAGGGTGAGGGGCTTTATTCATGGCCTGTGGAGGAGGGCTGGGCAGCTTGACCTGCCCCACCAAGTTCCTTCAATCCTCTGGCTTCCCTAGGCCTAACAGAGCAGGAGTCCTCATCCCTGGCTCCTCCTCTTAACCCTGGACCTTTCGGATTGATGCTGCCACACCATGGAATGATGCCTATGGCCTGTATCCTAGGAGCTCACTGCTAGAAGAAAGGAGGGTTTCACATATGTACCACACAGCATCCTGAGAACAGGGCTGCTGTTTAAGAAAAATTCACAGATGCTACTGAAGGACCATCTCTAAAGAGAGAAGGAAAGAAAAAGTATGCCAATGATGTTTTGAGGAATGGAGTTTAAAAAAATACAGTTCAGGCTGGGTGCAGCGGCTCATGGCTGTAATCCCAGCACTTTGGGAGGCAGGCAGATCACTTGAGGCCAGGAGTTCGAGACCAACCTGGCCAACATGGAGAAACCCCATCTGTACTAAAAGTACAAAAATTAGGTGGGCGTGGTGGCACATGCCTGTAAACCCAGCTACTTGGAGACTGAGGCAGGAGAATCACTAGAACCCACAAGGCAGAGGCTGTAGTGAGCTAAGACCAAGACACTGCACTCCAGCCTGGGCAACAGAGCAAGATGCTGCCTCAAAAAAAAAAAAAAAAAAAAAAATACAGTTCAGATTTAGAGGTCAGTATCAATACTTTGAGGATCACTTTTTGATGATCTGTGGCTTATTAGCCCAGGACCAACAGGATTTATTTGCCAGGTGAGTGACTTACAGTGAAAATTCTCTCTCTTCTTCCACCTAGAATATCCACAAAGGAGACCAAGGGGGCGAATCCCTGGTGCCCTCCTCACAGCCCCAGCTCAGTGCTTTCTCGGGGCTTCCAGAGAACTGTGAACCCCTGGCCACATTCATCAGCTCAGGTTCTACCCTCTAGTCTCAGTTGGGTGGTAAGGAAGCCTGGCTACTGCCCCATACCTCTGTGCACTGCCAATACCCAAGACTGCTGAACCCTCAAAACCAGAGCTGCGCACTTAGAGAGAAGGCAGGTCGGTGGCTGTCTAGGGACAGGAGAGTAGGGGAAACAGAGCGGCTGCGAATGGGTACAGGCTTCTGAAACGGAGTGTGGCGATGGTTGTATAACTTTGTGACTATACAAAAAACCACTGATTTGCACACTTTAAATGGATCGATTGCGTGATATATAAATTATGTCTCAATAAAGCTGTAATTGAAGAAAAGCCAGTGGGTGACTTCGTATCCTCAAGACCTTCCCTCATCAGCCAGCTGAGCTTGTCCCAAACCTTCGCTGCTGCTTGTGCTTGTTCATGCAACTCTACAGTTTGAATACACACAGTTACTCCATGAAAACTAAGTCACATGCTTTGGAAAGGTTCTAGAAGAGGCAGGTTGCAGCCGGGCACGGTGGATCGCGCCTGTAATCCTAGCACTTTAGGAGGCCAAGGCAGGTGGATCCCTTTAGCTCAGGAGCTCTAGATCAGCCTGGGCAACATGGCAAGACCTGATCTCAATTTTAACATTTTTTTAATTTAAAAAATTGTAAAGAGGCAGATTGCCAGCAAATAGCTGTCAAATGATAATGTGGTTTGGAAGATAATCTAGAAGGACTTCTTGGTAAGTGTCTTAAGGTTTTGTTCACTTCAAAGAAATGAAGGCTGATGCATTAACAGGGGTAGTTAATGCGTGGAGGATGACAGAAGACTCCAGTCAGCTGAGCAGAGCTCAGAAAGTCTGCAGTGCCAGGGCCTCAAAAGACGGGCCAAGGAATATGCATTTAAATGACAATAAAATACCCAAAGCCTAAGCATAATCCTACAAAACTTCCTCCTTTAACTAGCTTTTATGATGACCTGCTAGTCCTGTTGACGTTCAGTCAGAGGTGTTCTCTCTCTGTGCAGGAGAATGACTTTTCAGACAGGATTGGAGGAGAGAGGGCATGCAGGGAGCACCCACCTAGCCCATCCAGACCCAGGGTGGAAGGGGCCAGGGCTGCCAGGTGACAGCCAGATCTTTCCCCAGAAAATGCAAGCCTACACAGCCCTCTGAGCTGCGGGTCCCTCCCTACTGGGAGGCCTCTTACCTGTGCATTTCAATAGGGTCTCCTTCAGCTCCCGTTTCTCTTTCCGGAGCTGAGCCAGGTGCCCTCGGATTTCCTCCTTCTTCTTTTCAAGCCTCTCCTTCTCCTCTGTGTAGCGCTTCACCTCAGCTTCTGTCCGATTCTTGCCAAGCTTGATCTCTACAGACCCAGAGAGGGAAGCCCCAGGTCAGCCCGGCTGGACCATGAAGGCTGTCCTCGGTCTACTCGTCAGGCCCACGCAGAACCTGGGGCTTTGGTACAGGAGCAGAGCTGGATGCCAGGCCAGCCTAGCAGGGGTAGGAAAGGAACCTGGGCCCACATCTTAGTTGCTGTGTGACCCCAGACAGATCCCTCTACCTCTCTGAACCTGTTCCCTAACCTGAAAAGGATGGTGTTATGGTTAATACTGAGTGTCAACTTGATTGGATTGAAGGATGCAACGTGTTGTTGCTGGGTGTGTCTGTGAGGGTGCTGCCAAAGAAGATTAACATTTGAGTCAGTGGACTGGGAGGGGCAGACCCACCCTCAGTCTGGGTGGTGTGGCTAGAATAAAGCAGGCAGAAGAACGTGGAAGAACTTGACTCACTGAGTCTTCCCCAGCCTTTATCATTCTCTACATCTGGATGCTTCCTGCCCTTGAACATCAGGCTCCAAGTTCTCCAGCTTTTGGGCTCTTGGACTTACGTGGTTTGCCAGAGGCTTTCAGACCTCTGGCCACAGACTGAAGGCTACACTGTCAGCTTCCCTCCTTCTGAGGCTTTGGGACAGACTGATCCACTGGCTTCCTCGCCCCTCAGCTTGCAGAAGGCCTATCATGGGACTTTACCTTGTGATCGTGTGAGTCAGTTCTCCTTAATAAACTCCCCTTCATATATACATCTATCTTGTTAGTTCTGTGTCCCTAGAGAACCCTGACTAATACCAGTGGAATCGGGTAACTTCCCCAAGCACAAGTACCTGCACTGGTCACGCGTAACCTGTCCTTCACAGGCGGGCTGGCACCAGGCGGGGTGGCCACCAGGGTGTCGGGGCAGCTCGGTGGGAAGGAGATTCTCTGCTGTTCAGTCTGGATTTTGACGGTGAGGATTCTCAGGGAAGGCTCCTCAGGCTCCAAATTCTCCAGCTGCTTTGGGAGAAAGCAGACACGACTCAGTGGCTGATGGGGCTGGGGAGGTGGTGCGGCTCACCTTCAGGGGAGGGTCTGTACCTGCTCCTCCAGGTTCTCTGGACACTTTAGGCAGGGCTCATCTGGGGTGGGACCTGGGTCTGGATCTGCAGGGAGGGCCTCAGTCGCATTGTCCAGGCGGGACAAGGTCGGGGAGGAAGCCTGGGCCTGCACACTGCTGGGGCCGTGCAGAAAGGACTTGACAGGTGTGAGGTCCAGGTACACTCGGTCAGATTCTCTCTTACTTGGGTCATCCGCAGCAGGGATGGTTTCCTCGGTAGGCTCCACCTGCAGGAGACGGAAGAGTAGGGGGCATGCACCATTACGTTCACTCCCTAGCTGTGGAGGGGGCACCAGCCCTGCCTCAGCTCCTGTGCCCACCTCACGATATTCCCAGAGATCTCCCTGCCTCCTACGGGGGGCCACTGGTTGAGTCCTAGATGTGCCATTCAAGGTGGAAGATCCAGACACAGCACTTCACTTCCCTGAACCTTATAAGTTCCTCATCTGTAAGGAGGAAAATAGCAGCACCTTCCCATAAGGTGGTTAGGATTGAAGATCATCTGCAGGAGGTCCTCAGCTCAGCACAGGGGTCAGTGCCCAGCACATGCAAGCTGCCATCCATGTGATAATCACACCTCAATGATCGATTTGGATCCAGAAGCCTACTGGTGCCTCCACTTCTAATTCCACCACCACACCCCTAGCCCTGACCAGAGTGGTCTATGGTGTTTCATCTACATAAGTCCTCAGGCCAAGCAAACTGCACGACCTCGCATATAAGAGACAGCCTTGCTACACTCAGGTGTCTGCACTAACCGACTGGTAGATGGCTCAGAACTCGCTGATCTCAGGGACACTCTAATGATCTCTGGCACCCAGGCGTTGAGGTTTGCAGGAAGAAGTCCGGAGAGCCCCAGGTCACTGCCTGGCCGAGTCCTTACCACAGCTGTGAGCTCCGACAGTTCCACGTCATCATACAGCTCCTCCTGGCGGTCCTGGCTAGGCAGGCCATCGATGTAAGTGTTGGGCTCTGAGAACTTTCTCTGCATCAGTCTAGAAACAGGGCAAGGTGGCAGGCGTGAAGCACCTGGGGCAGGGTGGCGAAAGCACTAGGCTCCAAGGATCCCCAGTGATGAGTAGTTGCCGTGAAAGCGGTGGCCGCACAAGAGATCTGGAGCCGACACCCACCTCCATGGATCTGAGGGCGCCTTCTCCCTCTTTTCCCAGTGCCTTCTTCCTGGAATTCTTGGTTCCAGATTTTCCTCCCAGAAAGACGGCCTTCCCTTGCCATCCCCTTCTCCCAGGATCCCTCTGTCATCTATCTTCTTCCCAGTTCCTCCCTTCTAGGATCTTCTTCCAGCAGCCACAAGGAAAACCCCTTCTCATTTCATCTTCACAGTACACTCAGGGTGGTGCAGCCCAGACACTATCTCCGTTTGGTCCATGAGAAAACGGATTGTGTTTCAGTGGCTCGGCCGGCTTCCACTAGACTGGCCCTACCACCCTAACCAGAGAACACCTCTCCCTCAGCCCCAGTTTGCTCATCTGGAAACAAGCACTATCCCCGACCTGCTTTTCTCCAGGTGTGCTGGAGACCCAGTGAGTGATTCACTGGGAGGAGGAGGAGGAGGTCAGAAAAGGTGACAGCAGTGCCTGGGGGAGCTGGAGAGTCCAACTGCAGCCAAGGATGCCAACACCGCCCCGGGGGCCCGGAGCCCGGCGCAGCTCCCGGCTCTGCGCCGGGCCTCCTGAGGGCTGCTCCTGGGCTTTGCATCTTCCTGCTGTAGGCAGAGCAGGGTGGAACCCTGTGCTCTCTGCTGCCCCTGGCTCCGGCTGACCCAGGGCCTACAGCATGGCCAGGAATGGGAGAGTGTACGGAGAAAGGGCCCAGATTACTCACAAGAGAGAGTTTTTGGCCGCACTCACAATACAGGAAACCCTGTCGGCGTCCACATAGTCGTAGGTGAACTCTTCTGGGTCTGTCTTGGAGCCTGATTCAGAGAGCAGGAGACCCAGCCAGTGGCCCATTTCCTGGGAAGACTTGGCCTGGAACGAGGCCAAGAGAGACATGAACAGGGCTGGGCTGGGCTGTGCTGCCTTGTGCCAGCCCCTCCCCACCAGGCCATGCCCGTACCCCTATCCCCAAACCCACACACGAAAGCCCCTGTGACAGCCTGGGGCCATGTTCCTCCTGAACACCAGCATATCCCACCCCCCAGTGGCCCCAAATGACATTTCCTGTCAGTGACCTTTTTTTTTTTTTTTTTTTGAGACAGAGTCTGACTCTCACCCAGGCTGGAGTGCAGTAGCGTGATCTCGGCTCACTGCAACCTCCACCTCCTAGGTTCAAGCAATTCTCCTGCCTCAGCTATGACTGCAGGCATACACCACCATGCCCAGCTAATTTTTGTATTTTTAGTAGAGATGGAGTTTCACCATATTGGCCAGGCTGGTCTCTAACTCCTGATCTCGGGATCCGCCCGCCTTGGCCTCCCAAAGGGCTGGGATTACAGGCGTGAGCCACCGTGCCTGGCCCCTGTCAGTGACATCTTGATGCCACCTCAATAATGCTATGGACTTTTATTACAAGGGTTATATGAGATTTATATATATTGTGTCTCTGGGAGGTGAAAACTATTAGTTATCACCAGGTGATTACTATTAAATATTGTTACAGTGATCACCTAATAGTTTTTTAAATGATTATTAAAAATTGTGTGTCTTTTGACACTTGCATTTTATGAACAATGCATGTCATCTTATCACCCTAATCCCGTACACAACAGGACTGCCTGGATCCCTAAGAATGGCTTTTGTTCATGGCTTCAGTTAAGTCAGGACATCTTAAATGCCTTACACCAGCTCAGCTACTAAATCATGATCTAAATCCCAATGAATTTGGTAATTTTTTCCCAGGGGACAATGCATTCTAATCAAATTTATACATTGGGGTACCTATATTAAAATGTCAACATAGTTTCTTACCTTTATAATGAGACAAAAACTGCACATTTTATAAAAGCTACAGGTTTACTTTCATGAGGAAAATCAGCTCCCTTTGGTATAACCCATAATTCTAGCCCTAGGGAGAATGTTTGCTGCTACATTCTCTTCATCAAAGAGGCCATGATGAGCAGAATTTGACATTTAGCTGGTTTCCTTTTCCCAGTTATTTATTTTTTTAGATGGAATCTTGCTCTGTTGCCCAGGCTGGAGTGCAGTGGTGTAATCTCAGCTCACTGCAGCCTCTGCCTCCTGGGTTCAAGCAATTCTTCTGTCTCAGCCTCTGGGATTACAAGTAGCTGAGATTACAGGTGATCACCACCACACCCAGCTAGTTTTTGTATTTTTAGTAGAGACAGGGTTTTACCATGTTGGCCAGGCTGGTCTCAAATTCCTGACCTCAAGTGATCCGCCCACCTCGGCTTCCCAAAGTGCTGGGATTACATGCGTGAACCATCACACAGAGCCCCTGCTTAGTTTCAGTTGAATTGTAAATACAGCTTTTCACGGGCATCCCTTGGTCCAGGCTATCAGCGTCTCTGTCCTGGGCGGCTGTGACAGCTTCTTAACAGGTCCCTTTCTTTTTTTTTTTTTTTTTTTTGAGACGGAGTTTCGCTGTTACCCAGGCTGGAGTGCAATGGCACGATCTCGGCTCACCGCAACCTCCGCCTCCTGGGTTCAAGCAATTCTCCTGCCTCAGCCTCCTGAGTAGCTGGTACTACAGGCACACGCCACCATGCCCAGCTAATTTTTGTATTTTTAGTAGAGACGGGGTTTCACCATGTTGACCAGGATGGTCTCGATCTCTTGACCTCATGATCCACCCGCCTTGGCCTCCCAAAGTGCTGGGATTACAGGCCTGAGCCACCGCGCCTGGCAACAGGTCCCTTTCTTGTCCCCCTTCCATGCACTCCCACCCCAGTAGTTGGAGGAAGCATCTTAAAACCCCAATCTGAGCTTGCTGCCCTCCCCTGAAAGCTGCCAGGGCTCCGCTGCTCCTAGGATCAAGCCCTGTCCCTCCCCTCCAGCCTGTCACCCAGTCCCCAGTACATATCCATAGTACCCTCCCTTCCCAATTCTTTCCAGCCATTCATTGTAGCTCAGTGATCAGTTGGGTGATTTTTTTTTTTTTTTTTTTTTGAGATGAGAGAGTTTTGCTCTTGTTGCCCAGGCTAGAGTGCAGTGGTGTGATCTCAGCTCACTGTAACCTCTGCCTCCTGGGTTCAAGTGATTCTCCTGCCTCAGTCTCCTGAGTAGCTGGGATTACAGGCATGCACCACCACGTCTGGCTAATTTTGTATTTTTAGTAAAGACTGGGTTTCTCCATGTTGGTCAGGATGGTCTCAAACTCCTAACCTCAGGTAATCCGCCCACCTCAGCCACCTAAAGTGCTGGGATTACAGGCGTGAGCCATCTCGCCCGGCCAGTTGGGTGATTTGCTGAGTAACATCACACTCCCAAACTAGGATGTAAGTGCCACAAGGACAGGGAGCCCCTATTGTTCTTGTCCACTGTATTCCTGTGCAGAGGAGATGTTTACTGATGGGGAAGGGATGAATGGATGAATGAATATAAGCTATAAACTGGGCCCTGGGAAGCAGCTGCGATGTGGGTCTTTCAGCCACCAGAGGGCAGGATTGGAGCAAGGTTTGGATGGGGACCTCGTCCAAGACTAAGTGAACCGGGCATTCGTGGGCAAGCATGCGCTTCCAGGAGTGGAAGGGACTCGGTCTCTGCTTGCCACCGCCCGCGAGGCATTATGTCACTTCTTATTTTTGTAAATGTAACATCACATCAAACAGAGGGTGGGGAGTGAGAGGAATGTAATTGTATCACAAAGCGATTTTTTTCCCCCAGATAAGCTCGAACAGTGTAGTTTTTATGTACTGGGCCTAGAGGCTCTCCCAACTGGTGACACCCAAACAAAACAGCACCCACTTTGAATTCCCAGCAGCTCAGAGAGTTATAAATACTCCTTCCCTAAGTGCAGGAAGTGGCTCATGGTCCCACTCATATAACACAACCACCCTGAGGTCGGAAAAGGAATGGAAATTTTTAAAAATGCAAACAATCTCAGGCAAAGGAAGTAAAAATAACGCACGTGGCAACATTGATTCTCCCTTGGTAGGATTACAGTCCTGGAGACTGGCAGCAAACAGCCACCACCGCCACACCCTGGCTGGCCCTGCTCCCTGCCCCACAGGCCGGTGGTACCTCGAGCTTGGCCAGCTCCTCTCCCTTGTGGAGGATGCGGAAGGAGTAGAGGTGGTCGGGGCTGGGGTCTGGGACCACCTCACAGCCCACCAGGCTGAGGGGTTGCTGGGCCACTTTGCTCCGGTTCCGGTCCTGGTAGAAGTGCAGGTGATTGTCCCTGACAGAGCACCAGCGAGACTTCCACTGGCTGTTCACCAGCACGTTCAGGTAACCTGCAGAAGGAGATGCAGATGCAGGAGGAGTTGGGGCTGCAGGAGGGGATGCAGATGCAGGAGGGGATGCGTATGCAGGAGGGGATGCGGATGCAGGAGGGGATGCAGATGCAGGAGGGGATGCGGATGCAGGAGGGGATGCAGATGCAGGAGGGGATGGGGCTGCAGGAGGGGATGGGGCTGCAGGAGGGGATGCGGATGCAGGAGGGGATGCGGATGCAGGAGGGGATGCGGATGCAGGAGGGGATGGGGATGCAGGAGGGGATGGGGATGCAGGAGGGGATGGGGATGCAGGAGGGGATGGGGATGCAGGAGGGGATGCGGATGCAGGAGGGGATGCGGATGCAGGAGGGGATGCGGATGCAGGAGGGGATGGGGATGCAGGAGGGGATGGGGATGCAGGAGGGGATGGGGTTGCAGGAGGGGATGCGGATGCAGGAGGGGATGCGGATGCAGGAGGGGATGCGGATGCAGGAGGGGATGGGGATGCAGGAGGGGATGGGGATGCAGGAGGGGATGCGGATGCAGGAAGGGATGGGGCTGCAGGAGGGGATGGGGATGCAGGAGGGGATGCAGATGCAGGAGGAGTTGGGGCTGCAGGAGGGGATGCAGATGCAGGAAGGGATGCAGATGCAGGAGGGTATGCAGATGCAAGAGGGGGTGGGGCTGCAGGAAGGGATGAAGATGCAGGAGGGGACAGGGATGCAGAAGGGGATGGGGCTGCAGGAGGGGATGCAGTCACAGGAGGGGGTGCTGGAGTGGGCACAGTTGCAGGAGGCGGCAGAGCTGCAGGAGGGGATGGGGGGCAGGAGGGCATGGGTGTCTAAGTGTGTGCAAGGCTGGCACTGCCTCTGGGCTTCCTTAGAGTCTCCCCGAGAATCTCAGCTTCAGAACCCATCAGACACCTTCCTTGTCCTAAGGGATTGGAAGCTGCCCTGAGCTTTGGCCGACTGAACCAGGCAATAGGGTGAAAGTGCACAGCTACCCTCCTGCCTGGTCCAGGGCCAGACACACAGTGGGGATCATGCATATTGCCAAGCTACATTAACACAAAGTGGAAGAATCAGAGACCAGGATGGAGCTGCCACACTTGCCCATCACAACCCTCTGGACCAAAGAGAATCGTGCATCATGGGAGGTGGGATCTCAGAGCCCTTAAGCATCCCCAGTCCTGGGAAGGGGAGCAGCTGTGTTCTCTCTCAGCCCTCCCCTAGCCGCAGGGAGCATGCTTCACTGCTAAGTAGACATCAGCAATAACGCAGCCACATCTCTCAGACAGTGACTCACTGGGATTGGGCTCCCAGGCCAAACGTCATGCCCTCTGAAGCCACTGCCTGGCAGCTGGCTGGAGAAGCAGAAGGCAAAGATACAGCCTTGTCTGCTGCCTTCCTAGTCCACCGCCACCACCCTGCCAGCCTCAAAACATAAGAAAACTTAGCTGGGACTCAGAAAGGGAACCCAAGGATGGGACAAGAATGACTTTCAGGCCCCAGGAAGGCTGACAGCAATGTGCCCCGGCTTGGGGATCAAGACACTAGGCCCACCCCAAGATATTTCCCAGGAAAATACCTATTGCTCCTCCGAGCCTCAGTTTCCCCAAGTTCGAGTGAAGGTGGAGAGATGACCTCTAAGAGCCTACCTGCACCCATACCCTCTGCACCAGCATGGGGTTCTCATTGTCCCCTTCACGGTCTCGCCTGTTCCCATCTCAGAGTCACTGCTCCTGTGCACAGGCACCATTCTGGCCTGTTCCTCACCTACATGGCCCTCAAGCCTCAAGTCCACAAAGCTCTCTCTGACCACAGGGCAAGAAAAGCTCTCTCTGTCCCTGAGTCCTCACAGCTACAAAGATGGCACAGGGCCTGCCATAGGTATAAAGTCATCGCCTCCCTCAGGCAGGCTGTGAGCTCTGGATACTGTGCCTGACATCCTTCTGCTTGCTCCCCCTTTAACACGGTGCTCGCCATACCCTGCAAATATAGATCAAATGAACACCATTTTTAAAAGAATACTAGGAAGATGCCAATCAGTTACCCTCACTTCCACAAAGGCTCCAACACTGCAGCAAGAGAGAGTCGGGTCAGGCCTAAGGACCTGCCTGCAGTAGCAACAGACAGGAACCTGAGGGCTGCAGGCTCTCCATCCCTAGAGATGTTTATGCGATACCTGAAACCCCCTGCCTTTGCTGTCTGAGATCGCTTTCCTGAGGACAGGCTCCAGCCCAGGGAATGAGCCTCTGGACCTGGAGGTAGCCACAGTTCTTACTGGATGTTTCGAGGGACCTCTCCACAGGCTCCAGTGAGGTGGATTTCTTCCTGCCCAGATTCATTAGGTTGCTCAGTTTGAGGCCAGCAGAACATTTCTTCTTGACTGTCAAGATGAGACAGAAAGCAATTGGTATTGCAGGTGGTCCACCCATGTGCCCATGAGAGATGGAAAAAATAGCAAATCCATTCCCACTGTGTCCACCCATCCCTCCCCAGTACATATGTGCACACACACATATCTCCCCAGGCCAGAGTTAGGTGTCTTTAAAGTCGCACACTCAAGAGGGGTACACAGACTTCTTATAGAATATGTAACCACTTGAGAGTCTTTACAGACCGTACTGGCTCAAAGAGATTTGTAAAAGGGTATGCAAACAGCAGAGATGACGAACACTCTACCCCCAGCATTTCATGAAGCTTAACTCCAATTTGACCATGTCTCCTTTTCTCCTCGATCTGTCAGCAGTAGTTATTTCCAAGTAGTTTATTAATGGGAGGCCATGTTAGAATCAGCGGCTAAAACCCAATGGTATTGAGCCCGACAGCCCAGGCTCCCAGCCTGGGACACCATTCCCCTCCTGTCCCCAGGCTGTTACCGTCTTTGGTTTCTGGGACCTCAGGGTGGCCATCCACGGAGTTCCCATACTCTGAAGCTGACAGGTACTTCTCAGCTATATCTGGCTATGGACAAAAGAGACATGAATGGGGATCACTGGCTGGGAACAGGTACCATGGACACCACAATTTAAGGGAAAATACTAGATGGTTCTTGGTTGTAGGCCAGAGGTCAGCTGACCAAACCCCTGCCAGCCACCTACATGGCAGAATCCAGGTCACTGGTAGGACATCGGCCCAGCTTCCAAATGGCTGCTCAACCTGATGTGATAGTGGCCCCTGTAGCCAGCAGGCAGGGCAAGCAGGCTGCCCAGGGGTGGCATTAGAGTTTGCATCCCCAAAGACATTGACTGTCAAGCTAAACCACTCATACTGAGAGCGTGAAGAAGTCTTCTGAGAGCTGCCTGTTCTGGACACGTGGGCTGGCTCATCGGCACAGGGACAGTCCCTGATCTGAGTCCTGGCCGAGCATTCTGCTTGCAAGCCTGTGCCCGAGTTAAATGAGCCTCTCTGAGCCTCACTCTGCATGTAAGTCACAGAGGGATGACATCCCAGTCTGCTCACAGGGGTGCTGGGGACTAGAGATAACCCCTAGAAAAGTGTAGCTGCTGCTGCTGTTAGAACACGAAGCCCTCAGAATATTCTAATCAAGCTGCTTTGAGAACGTCACAGACTCCAGATCTCTAAAAAACAGGCTGACAGCCTCCCATGCAACAGTTAATTGAACTGACTGGCCTTAGGCAGGGTCCAGGGCCAGCAGTCCTGGCCAGGGAAGTACTGCGTGCTGAGTCTTTAGGGACAGCTTTTGTTTCTCGCCCCAATATGAAGAAAACCCAAATTCATTCCAAATTGTGTTTGCTTGTCAGTGGCCAAGGAATAAATGAGACGATGAAAAAAGGCCCCTCCTGAGTGACTCTGGAATCTGGAAGGACTGTGGGCTCTTTCTCCATGGTGGATGACCTGCACCTTCCGGAGAATAAGTGGCCTCCATCCTGCTCAAGCCCCTGTGTGCCTCTTGCTTTCCTCCCTGCCAGGGGCAGGGAGCCCAAGAGGAGCCACAATGACCGTCTGGCTATTCTGTGTGCCCAGCCTTCAGCACACCTACCTGCAGGTACTCGGGGACAGGAAATGTGACCCTACAGGTGACAATCCTCCCTTTGGCCAGAACCTAACTCACTTCTTCAGCTTTGACCTTTAAGCCCAAAACTCCCCCAAAGCACCCTGCAAATAACACAGTCTTTTGGTTGCAATCAGCCTTGAGGCAGTGCCCCAAGTCCAGGGGCCCGACTGGGGAATAAGGGGGAAGGAAGTGCCTCATAAAATCGGTCTCCCTGCTTAAGAATGCAGGCCAAAGTGACTTTTGTTCAAACAAAGCTTCTCTGTCCCCCACCACCCGCCCACCCCTGGCACCCACAAGCAAGAAAATATTTTAAGTCTGTATCAGTTTCATCCATTTTCCTGCCAAGCTAGAGCTATTGTTCTTTTCCAAGCATTATATGTTGCTTTTTTCTTTTCTTTTCTTTTTTTTTTTTTTTTTGAAATGGAGTCTCCCTCTGTAGCCCAGGCTGGAGTATAGTGGCACCATCTCAGCTCACTACAACCTCTGCCTTCTGGGTTCAAGCGATTCTCCTGCCTCAGCCTCCTGAGTAGCTGGGATTACAGGTACCCATCACCATGCCTGGCTAATTTTTGTATTTTTAGTAGAGACAGGGTTTTACCATGTTGGCCAGGCTGGTCTCAAACCCCTGACCTCACATGATCCACCTGCCTCAGCCTCCCAAAGTCCTGGGATTGCAGGCATGAGCCACTGTGCATGGCTTCAAGCACTGTATGTTTCTTATTGATTGGACTGAAATATAAAAACCAAGCTCCCAATTTTATACTTTTAATTTTTAGGAGAAAACATGGAAGGGGACTCTCCGTCCAGGCAGGACAGAGGCTTACTTTCTGGCAGCTAAAGCGCTGGGCATCCGGAGTATACTGGTTTCCTTCAGCTGCGCCTTCAGAAGGCAGGCCGCTCACTTCCTGGATGACCTGAGGTGAGAGGGAGGCCGTCAGCAGAGGTGAAGGTCCTCTGGCCAGCACTCATAGCCAGGCGGAAGCCAGGTTCCTCTAGGTCAAGGGAGAGCAGGTGAGGTGAGAGAGAAGATGCTGAATTTCCAAGGAAGAGGACCCATCCCCATCCCCAAGGCCTGCACGTGACCTTGAACCCAGCTCTGCAGGCTGCAGTGGGGAGGGCTGGTTGTATAGGCTCCTTTCTGCAGGTCCCACACTTTCTGGGGCATGAGAGGGGGCCCTTGGCAGCAAAGGCCAAAGATGACCAGAGCTGCCAGCCCAAGGCTCCACGAGCCCCTTTCCTGCCACCATTCCGGGCAGGGCCACTGTGCTGATGTAGGTGTGATGAGCAACATTCCTGCTAGACAGTCCCCTGGATTCTCAGAGGTTGCACAACTCTTCGTACAGTCTCCACACTGCCTGAGGAGCAGGCCTGCAAACTGCCTCGTTCCAATGACTCACTGGCTCACCGGACTCGCCTGTTGCCACCCACCCACCCTTCCCTCTGGGAGGGGGCCGCTTCACTGGCTCCTTCACTGGACCAGTGGAGAAAGAGGGTCTCTCTGTAAAGGCTGGACACAGAGAGGCTGTGCCTTCTGAAAGCGTTCTTGTCTTTGAAACCCTGAGCAGAAGCTATGGGGCAGGGGTCTCAGGAAGAGGGCGTGAGAGTCTGGGGAAGCACTGGCCATACCACCCTGAATGTGCCCGATCCTGTCTGATCTCAGAAAGTCTGGGGAGGGAGGCTGGATCAGGGAGAGGGTGAGTGGGTTTGGGCAGTTGGAGGAATGGAGCCTGGGCTGGGGGCAGATGCAGAAAGTCAGTGGTGGCTCTGACTATGCAAAGCAGTGCCTCGGTCTGAATGAGGGACACTCCCTTCTTCCCCGGGGGGGAACTCCCAGGGTGACCAGAAACACACTGTCCACCTGGAAGCCCTTTGGAGGTGCAGAATTAATAAGAGTGATTTCAAAGATCCTCCTCTTTCAGTCTATGCCTTGAGCAGTTTATGGAAATGGGTTTCAAATCAGAAAAGCCCCAGAACTCCAGTTCAGGACTGTGGTCCACACTGAATATGCCACACAGTGGCATGGGAAGAACACAGGCACTAGAGCTGGCACCTGTGTGACACTGAGCATGAGTCTCAGCCACTGCATCTGTAAGCTGGGACAATACCTCTGCTGTAAGCCAGCTGTGAGTGGCTGTGTGTCAAGTACCCAGCACAGGGCAGACACATCGACTGCCATCCCTATTAGCTTGCACCAAATACACGGACGCCTCCACCCAGGGAAAGCACCACTAAGCCAGGAGTTTAGGAGTGGGGCAGGGGTAGGGTTGTGCTTCCCTGGAAAAGCCCTGTGTTGTGCCTTCCTTTACTGGGACCCATGTTCCATAGTCAACATCCCCCGTTTACTGTCATATACCTGTCTCACCCTGGGCATGGGTGGGAATATGCACAACTGGGACACAGAGGCCCAAGGAAGGTAGATGAGCTTTACAAACCCAACACAGCTGGGTGGAGAGCCCATTGGACAGGTGGACCAGCCCCTACTCCCAAAGCTCAAAAATGGGCAGCTTCTCAGAGCAGGCATTTCCAGCCAAGTCCACCTCTGCACTCATCTGACTGGGGGGAAAGGATTTCTCTGTGAAGGCTGGACACAGAAAGTCTGTGCCTTCTGAAAGCGTTCTTGTCTTTGAAACCACCAGCAGAGGCTCTGGGGCGGGGTCTCTGGAAGACGGCGTGAGAGTTTGGGGAGGGAGGCTAGAGGCCAGGGAAAGGATCAGTGGATCTGAGCAGTCAGAGGAACAGTGTGGGGAACTGAAAGCAAGAGCATAGAGTGTGTGCATATGCGTGTGTGTGTGCACGCATGTGTGTGTCATGTGTGCGCATGTGCGTGTGTGTATACATGCACAGAAACAACGTATGCATGAACATAAATGTGTATATAAATGTGCATTTGTCCATGTGTCTACGAATGTATACATGAATGTGCATGTATGCATATATGTGTGCAAATGAGTGTGTGTGTGTGTGTAGTGGGTGAGGATGGGGAGGGATAGGAGGCAGGAGACTGGGGTGAGAAACCAACAGCCCAGAGCTCTGTGTCCTAATCAGCTCTGCAGCCCAGGACAAGCTCCTCACTCCCTCTGGGCCTCGGTGATCTTATCTGTACTCTCCAAGTTTCACGAAGCACTCAGTATATACCAGGCACAGTGCTAAGCACTTTGTGCACATTAACGCATCCAGCCCCAAATCACTCAGTTAAAAAGGGGTGAAGCCGTGCTCATTCAGCAGCACATATACTAAAATTGGAATGATACAGAGATTAGCATGGCCCTGGTGTAAGGATGACACACAAATTCACGACACATTCCATATATTTAAATGACAAAAGGGATAACACCACAGATTCCACAGAAATACAGACGACCATCAGAGATTACTACAAACAACTCTATGCACATAAACCAGTAAACCTGGAAGAAAAGGATAAATTCCTGGACACTTGCACCCTCCCAAGCCTAAACCAGAAAAAAGTCAAAACCATGAATAGACCAATAACAAGGACTGAAGTTAAGGCAGCAATTAATAGCCTACCCACCAAAATAAGCCCAGGTCCAGAGGGGTTCACAGCTGAATTCTACCAGACATACAAAGAAGAGCTGGTACCACCCCTTCTGAAATTATTCCAAACAATCCAAAAAGGGGAATCCTTCCCAAATCATTTTTATGAGACAAACATCATCCTGATAACAAAACCCAGCAGAGACTTAACAAGAAAAGAAACTTCAGGCCAATATCCATGACGAACATAGATGCAAAAATCTTCAACAAAATGCTTGCAAACCATTTGCCACAGCACATCAAAAAGCTTATCCATCACAATCAAGTAGGCTTCATCCCAGGGATGCAAGCCTGGTTCAACCAAGTCTATAAACGTAATTCAGCACATAAACAGAACCAAAGACAAAAATAACACAATTATCTCAATAGATGCAGAGAAGGCCTTTGACAAAATTCAACAGCTCTTTATGCTAAAAACTCTCAATAGACTAGGTATTGACAGAATGTATCTCAAAATAAAAGCTATTATGACAAACCCACAGCCAGTATCATACTGGATGGGCAAAAACTGGAAGCATTCTCTTTGAAATCTGGCACTAGACAAGGATGCCCTCTCTCACCACTCCTATTCACTATAGTATTGGAAGTTCTAGCCAGAGCAATTGGGCAAGAAAAAGAAATACAAGGTATTAGGAAAGGAAGAAAGTCAAATTGTCTCTATTTGCAGATGACATGATTGTATATTTAGAAGACCCCATTGTCTCAGCCCAAAATCTCCTAAAACTGATAAGCAACTTCAGCAAAGTCTCAGGATACAAAATCAATGTGCAGAAATCACAAGCATTCCTAAACACCAACAACAGACTTAAAGAAAGCCAAATCAAGAACGAACTGCAATTCACAATTGCTATAAAGAGAATAAAATACTTAGGAATACAACTACAAAGAATGTAAAGGACCTCTGCAAGGAGAACTACAAACCACTGCTCAATGAAATAAGAGAGGACACAAACAGATGGAGAAATATTCCATGCTCATGGTTAGGAAGAATCAATATTGTGAAAATGGCCATACTTCCCAAAGTAATTTATAGATTCAATGCTATCCCCATCAAGCTACCTATGACCCTCTTCAGAGAACTGGAAAAAACCACCTTAAACTTCATATGGAACCCCAAAAAAGAGCCCGCATAGCCAAGCCAATTCTAAGTAAAAGGAACAAAGCTGGAGGCATCATGCTACCTGACTTCAAACTATACTACAAGGCTACAACAATCAAAACAGCTGGTACTGGTACCAAAACAGAGATATAGACCAATGGAACAGAACAGAGGTCTTGGAAACAACGCCACACATTTACAACCATCTAATCTTTGACAAACCTGACAAAAACAAGCAATGGGGAAAGGATTCCTGTTTAATAAATGGTGTTGGGAAAACTGGCTAGCCATGTGCAGAAAGCAGAAACTGGACCCCTTCCTGACACCTTACACTAAAATTAACTCCAGATGGATTAAAGACTTAAACATAAGACCTAACACCATAAAAACCCTAGAAGAAAATCTAGGCAAAAACATTCAAGACATAGGCATAAGCAAGGACTTCATGACTAAAGAGCCAAAATAGACACATGGGATCTAATTAAACTCCAGAGCTTCTGCACAGCAAAAGAAACAATTATTAGAGTGAACCAGCAACCAACAGAATGGGAAAAAATGTTTGCAATCTATCCATCTGACAAAGGGCTAATATCCAGAATCTAAAAGGAACTAAAACAGATTTATAAGAAAAAAACAAACCCATTCAAAAGTGGGCAAAGGATATGAATAGACACTTTTCAAAAGACATATATGATGCCAACAAACATATGAAAAAATGCTCATCATCACTGTTTACTAGAGAAATGCAAATCAAAACCACATTGAGATACCATCTCAAGCCAGTTAGAATGGTGATAATTTAAAAATCTGGAGACAACAGATGCTGGAGAGGATGTGGAGAAATAGGAACACTTTTACATTGTTGGTGGGAGTGTAAATTAGTTCAACCATTGTGGAAGACAGTGTGGCGATTCTGCAAGGACCTAGAAATAGAAATTCCATTTGACCCAGCAATCCCATTACTGGGTATATATCCAAAGGATTAGAAATCGTTTTTTTATGAAGATGCATGCACACATATGTTCACTGCAGCACTGTTTACAATGGCAAAGACCTGGAACCAACCCAAATGCCCATCGATGATAGACTGGACAGGGAAAATGTGGCACATATACACCATGTAATACTATGCAGCCATAAAAAACAATGAGTTCGTGTCCTTTGTAGGGACATGGATGAATCTGGAAACCATCATTCTCAGCAAACTGACACAAGAACAGAAAATCAAACACTGCATGTTCTTCCTCATAAGCGGGTATTGAACAATGAGAACACATGGACACAGGGAGGGGAGCAGCATACACTGGGGTCTGTTGCGGGGTACTAGAGGTGGGACAGTGGGGGATAAGGAGTTGGGGAGAAATGCCAGATATAGGTGACAGGGATGGAGGCAGCAAACCACATTGCCACGTATGTACCTATGCAATATTCCTGCATGTTCTGCACATGTACCCCAGAACCTAAAGTGCAATAAAATGTATATATAAAAGAGGTGAAGCCAGGATTTGAACTCAGAGCCCTGGCTCTCAAATGCCCAGGGCTGGCCTTTCAGAGCTTGTTAGCTGCCTCAGGAACCCTACCCCACATGGAGATCTATGAAGCCAAACCACAAACCTGTCTAGGCAGTAGCCTTTCCTTTTCTATATAACGCTGTCTTTCACCACTTGAAGATTTTGCAATAAAGACTGAGATATCTGTCAGCACCTTTTAGAAGCTTGGTTTGGCCAGGCCTGGAATTTCCAAAACAATTAGTGGGTTTACGAAAACATCCTGCCTGCTCCAAATCTAGGGTACTCAGCCCTACCGGTGAAGCAGTGACTCGGGCAGGTATATTTTGGTCATGTTTTACCAAGGCAGTCAGATCTGTTTCTGACAGGCTCACCAAGGGAGTTATGTTTAGCTGGGGTGGCAGGTGGGGTGGGGTACGGGGTGGATAGAACACTCCTGTGCTAGAGAGGCTGTGATGGGAGACGGGGCGGCAGGAAGGAGGGGAAGGACCACTCTAGCTCTGGAGGGCCCTCTGGAACTGGGGATCCATTCCTGGTGCAAACCTTATACCTGCTGGAAGCATCAAGCGCATTTCCACCTGGGACAGGCAAGCCCCTTCCCCCCTGCCTCATCATCACCACACAAAGGAAGTACGGGTCGAGTGGACCACATACGTTCGTGGTGGGAGGAGGTGCAGCAATGTGTCAGACAGTCCTAGGTCTGAGAACCAACGTGCCCCACTTGCTAGACAACTTTGATCCATCACTTCCACCCTTTGAGCCTTAATCACACTGCTGCAAAATGGGGACATTCACATTCCCCAGCTATCCCCAGTGTGGTTACATGGGTTCAAGTTGCTAATAGTCCTTGGTCTATGGCAAATATGTGGCAAGAAGCAGCAACATGTATTCTTCTTCAGTAAGGAGGCTGGGGATGCCTCACCAGAGGCAAAAAGGGAAATGGGTTTCCAAGTCCAGGTTACTGAGGAGGATTCAGAGCTAGCAGCAGCTGCTGTAACCCATTTGCAGAAGACAAATTGCTACCACTTAGAACACGGGAAGCTCTGCAAACCTGAAGGATCACAAATCCTCTGCCCTTGACCCTATCATCTACCCCTTTAGAAAAGCTGGGGCCACAACTCTAGGAGCCCCTCCAAGCAGCCCAGTGCCCCTCACCCTGAGCCACTGCTCAGCCTGGTCCTTGCTCTGCAGGCCCAGCACGATCACGTCGGCGTTCATGGGCGTGATCTTTAGCTTGTGCTCCTTCTTCCGCACTTGCTTCTCCTTGTGAACGACACTGCTGCCCAGCAGGTTCACGTCCAGCTGAGGGCTGTGGTCCTTGGAGGATTTGTAGCACTGGAAGGAAAGAGGGAAGAGATCCACCACTTTGACAGGGGTGCCAGGCAGAGGCAATGTCTGCAAAGGAGGGGCCGCTGGACGCTGCAGGACCCCCCGAGAGCCTGACTTTACCCAGCAAGACCAAGAGGCTGGATACCCCAAGCAAGCCTGGAGCCCTAACCTCAAATATCAGAAACTCCTCTATTTGTCACATCGGATTGTCCACGTCTCCCTCAAGCCTCCTCCTCACCAGCCTCAGCCAAGGATGCTCCAGGATGCTGCTATCCAAATGGCTCAAACTTGCCCCACACCTGGGGGGGGGGACCCTAAAATACCTCCTCTGTGGACACCCTTCAGTTCTCCAAAGTGGAACAGACTTTCACCCTTTCTCCACCTCTCTGCATTGCTTGCTTGGCTTCTACAGTAAAGGATCCATAGGGCACAAAAACTAAGCTTTGTATCTGCCTAGTTAGGAAGACAACATGTTAACAAAGAAAGGAAGGACTCTCTTCCCCTACCAGAGAAAATACTTCACCCCTTGGCTTCCCTTTTGTAAAATGGGGGAAACCTCATAGGGTTGCTTAAAAGGATTACTTGAAATAACACTGGCACCAAGCAGGGCCCGCTGTAACCAGGCAAGAAAAGGTGTTTATAATAATTTGTGGAATTTCAAATCAGGACACGCAACTCAGAATTTTAATTTAAAAGAGCAGGAAACAGGACTGTTGTCAGAGTAATATATGGTTCCTTAATGGGTCTAGTTTTATGATCAGTAATTTAAAATATTGTTGCTTCTGAAGATACCTACCATTCTCATGCTGCACAGATAAAAACAGTAGCCGGAGCCAGGCACGGTGGCTCATGCCTGTAATCACAGCACTTTGGAAGGCCGAGGCAGGCGGATCATGAAGTCAGGAGCTTGAGACCAGCCTGACAAACATGGTGAAGCCCTGTCTCTACTAAAAATACAGCAATTAGCCAGGTGTGGTGGTGGGTGCCTGTAATCCCAGCTACTCAGGAGGTTGAGGCAGGAGAATTGCTTGAACCCAGGAGGTGGAGGTTGCAGTGAGCTGAGATTTTGCCACTGCACTCCAGCCAGAGCGACAGAGATTCCGTCTCAAAAACAAAACAAAACAGTAGCCAGAACTGGGGCTGGGCTGCAGGAGCCTGACTGGACTCCAGTGGACAGGATGTGAAAATGGACCCGGGGACAGAAAGATGTGTGTGTCTCAAAAGAGGAGGATGGGACAGTGATGGGGGAGGTGGTGGTGGTCACAGCCCCCTTGGAGAGCCTGATGAAACTACGAGACCTTTCTGGTTCGGAAAATGTACATTCATCCATGCACACAAAATCCTGCATACAATTTCAGGTTAGGGAGAAGTTAAAATCCCCTAATATAAACAAGCTTAAAACCCCCAGGATCAGGGACCATCCTGTTCCTCCTTCCGTTTCCCTGCACCTCCCCCCAAGGAGAGAAGCCAGGGACAAGACAGCATGAGGAAGACTGACCAGAAGCCTGGTGTCCTTGATGACACAGAGCTGCTTGGCCCACTGTCCCAGCCACTTCTTGCGCCACAGGAAGGCGCAGATGCGGGCGTCACGCATCAGCTCGATGCCAGCCTCTGGTGACGGCCACTGGTAGGGGGCCGACTTGCCCTTGCTGCCATCTTCTTCGTCGTAAGACTCGTAGGAGCTGCTCACAGCCTCTCCGTCCTCTGCAAGGAAGACCAGCTCAGTCAGGGCCTCGTGGGGCAGGGACAGTCCTGAAGCAGCAGCAGCCAGGCCACAGCTCCCGACTCTCCCTGCCCTCAAACCAGCCCCACAGCCACCAGCCAGATCCCAGGGCTGGCCTTCCTGCCCCCAAACCCCTCAGCGAGGCTTCTCGGATGCTGCTTCTGGCCACAAAACACAAATAACTTCAAACCAAAGTCTCTCCCTTTTCCTCCTCTAACCCCGTCACTCTCCACTCCACAGAAACCCCGAGAAGACGCCGGCCCGCAGACCAACTGTTTGCTCTTGACAAGGCCATTCTCCTCCTCGGGGCCTGGACTTCCTCAAGTGAGAGATGAAGGGGCGTGGGGGTGGGGCGTTGCCAGGTTCTTCCAGGCCTGGCGTCTGGCATTCAAAGGGCTCAGGCGGAAGGGAATGCCATCTGCGCGCCACCTGAGCCGCGCACGGCACAGGCCTGTGAGGGCCGCTGGCCTGGCTGGACCTGGCTCAGTCCCTGATCTGAGGAAGGGGTTGTGGCTCCTCAGAAATAAAAGACCAAATAAACCACGGCAGGAAGTGCTTTCTGGGGAAGCAGCCACCTTCTTACTCCCAAATACCCTCTCTTCGCCATAGCCCTTTTTAAAGCCTCCACTCATAACCTCCACAGACCCGGCTCACCTCCCTCCCTGCTGAACACCTCCTGGCACAAACGTAGCTCCTTCACTCATTTCTCACTTCCACCCTTCCTCTTTTGTTGTTTTGAAAGAATTCCAAAACTCATCACAGCACAAAGCATGCAGGATTCTACGCACACCCCACCTGCCTCAGTTTCTAGTTTCTGCCCCCACCACTCTGCCAAGAGTCGTTCTGTTCCCAGGTCCCACTGCTCTATTCAAGGACAACAAAAACCAAGGAAAAAAAAAAATCAATCAGTTCATCTGTCTATCGATTGATCTACCTACCTATCTCCATCCATCCATCCATCCGTCCATCCCTGAAAAGCAGGGCACGGAGGAAAGGAAACCTCAGGGTTTCAGTCTGACCCCTGGCACAGGAATCCTATCATAACCTTGATGCTCTGCCCGAATTTCCTGGGGAAGGCTCACCCCGTCCTGATCACTGAATACTCCCATTCCCAGGCAGCCCTATCTGTTAGGAAATGGGCTCAGCATCTATTTCCCTGACTTCTGCATGGCAGTCCTTGTTCTGTCCCCTTGAGTCAGGCTGAATGACACTCTGCCTACATTCCCATGACATCCTTCAGAAGAGGACCGGCCCATGGGCCCCTAAATCTTGGTAGAAGAATCCAGAAGCCCTTTCTCCTAGCTGTTAAGCTAGATTTTACTAGGAAGCACATTTGAATTAGAATATAGAAAAATAGAATGAAGCCCCTGCAGGAGTCATTCTAGCAACGATGACAATGAAAATGTGTTTTAATATTTCTAAAAACATTTTAAATATTTTAATATCAGTTTTCTTTAAAAGCCATGTGACATTACTCTTCTTTATGGCTTAATGTAAAAGTGTATAATTTATACCTATTAAATAAGACTGAAAATAGCAGTATTACCTAGAATGGAACACTGAACTCTTCGATTACGGGTGACAATGTAAATGAACACAGGCTTTTCAGAAAGCAGTCTGGCAGCCTGTTTCAAGAACCATAAAAATACCCATACTCTTTGATCCACTAATCCCAGTCCTGGGATTTTGTCCTAGGAAACAAGTTTTCAAAAAAGAGAAGGGGCCAGGAGTGGTGGCTCATGCCTATAATTCTGGCACTCTGGGGTGCTGAGGCAGGTGGATCACTTGAGCTCAGGAGTTCAAGACCAGCCTGGGCAGCAAATCCCACCTTTACAAAAAATACAAAAATTAGCTGGGCATGCTGGTATGCACCTGTAGTCCCAGTTACTTGGATGACTGAAGTGGGAGGATGGCTTGAGCCCAGGAGGTGAAGGTTGCAATGAACTGAGATTGTGCCACTGCACCCCAGCCTGGGCAACAGAGAGAGACATTGTCTCGAAAAAAAAAGGACGGGGTGGGGGAGAAATGTTATGTGCATTAGGATATTCATTCAAATGCTGTTTAGCAGTCAGCAGAAGGGGACTGGGTAAGTAAAACATGATTTTACCCACTTAGGAACCTACCATGCAGCTGTAATCAATTAAAACTCTGAAAACTAGTGCACAGCTCAATAAACTCCCTAAGGTGTGGTAAGGGAGAAGGCACAATTAGAACTGTACGTGCGACAGATCAGCACTGCAAGGCAACAAAGGGAAAAGCTAAAAATCATTGATTCGATGGGTGGTAGGATCAGGGCGATGCATACATTGTTTTCCATATTGTCAATACTGCATTACCTGTATAATAATTGACATTTAAAAAACAATACAATGTCATTGAGATTCTTCCTTCAGTAAATTAATGGAGGTGGCTACAGAGTTTAGGGTGAAGAATTTGGGTGAGGTCCCACTGTTCTGTGCTTCTAGGGTTGCCCCACATGTTTCATGAAGAAATTTAACATCTGCCCATCCTCCTCCATGGGGGTATTAGGAAGCTAAGAACAGCAAATCATCAACAGGACTAGGTATGAAAGAAAAAACATTGAGAATTAAAAAAAGAGAGAGAGAGACTGGGCGTGGTGGCTCACACCTATAATCCCAGCACTTTGGGAAGCCAAGGTGGGCAGATCACTTGAGGTCAGGAGTTTGAGACCAGCCTGGCCAACATGGTGAAACCCTGTCTCTTCTAAAAATACAAAAACAATTAGCTGGGCGTGGTGGTGCATCCCTGTAATCCCAGCTACTAGGAAGGCTGAGGCAGAATTGCTTGAAGCCGACATTGCAGTGAGCCGAGATCATGCCACTGCACTCCAGCCTGGGTGATAGAGTAAGAGACTCTGTCAAAAAAAAAAAAAAAAGAAAGAAAAGAAAAGAAAAGAAAAGAAAAAAGAAAAGAACACCAAATCATACTCCTGGAGTAGCTTGGAGGAAATTTAGAGCAAATATATTAATAATTGTTTTTACCCCTAAGAGGGATCATAGCACACCATAAACATAGGATATTCTTGGCCAGGCATGGTGGCTCACCCCTGTAATCCCAGTACTTTGGGAGGCTGAAGAGGGCAGATCACTTGAGGCCAGGAGTTCAAGACCAGCCTGGCCAATATGGCAAAACCCCATTTCTACTAAAGATACAAAAATTAGCCAGTCATGGTGATGTGCACCTGTAATCCCAGCTACTTGGAAGGTGGAGACTGAGGCAGGAGAATCGCTTGCACCTGGGAGGTGGAGGCTACAGTGAGCCGAGATCACACCACTGCACTTCAGCCTGGGTGACAGAGCCAGACTCTGTCTCCAAAAACAGTATGACAGACACTTGGCTTCTAGGAGGTGAACAGAAATGAGGCAGGATGCTCAGATAATCCCATCCGCATCTGCCATCCCTAGGTAGCCTCTACCCCACTGTGTTCTGTGGAATGAGGGCAGAACAGCCTTGCACGCTGTGGGTCTTTTAGCCATGTGTTTTTTGACACCACACTCAGGGTTGTGTGGAAAGCCAAGTAGGTCGCTCCCCTGGAAGACTGCACACGGCATGCACATGCAGACCCATGCAGACCCATGCAAGAGGACAGCAAGCAGGCAGTGGCCACCCTCAGGGCATGCACACGTCTAGGAGAGCCAGGCAGCAGGCAGGGAATCACGGGCATTCCAGCTCAGGGAGAAAGCAGTACCCAAGGTGATCGTGGCGTAAATGACTCCTTCAGGCACCTGCACCCATCTGGGGACTCCAGTGGGGAGAAATCTGCCAGAGTGACCTGCACGACATCCAGGAGCACAGAGAGAGGCAAGGGGAGAGACAGGATGAAGAGAGGAGCATGCCCAAGTGCAGAGGCATGGAGAGACGTAGACGTGGGGAACTTGCTGCTGGTCCACCAGAGGTTAGTGCTCGCCCATCAGAGGTGCGAGCTGTTGGTGAGGCCACTGCCCAGCCAAGGACATCATTTCCCAGAACCAGAGCCCTTCGCATCCAGAGATGACCATGTGACTACTTGTCACCAAGGCACTGTGGGCAGAAGTGATGTGTGTCACTTCTGGCTGGCGATGTTAAGAAGCAGACAGGGGTTCTCTGGTCTCTCTTCGCAGAGGATCCTGTGGCCCTCAAGGGTGGCTGAGATTAACATGGGAGTAGCCTGGGCACCTGATGTACATGAGGACAAGTAATGCTCCACACTGAAATACCCACAGAGAAACAGGTTTGCACTGTGCTACTAGAAACAGAAGTGCTGTGTTATCTGTTATAGCCACTAGCATTACCCCAGGGGAGACACCATCAGTGAAGTACCTGGTATGGCTGGCAAGCAGGGCAAACCCCGATCTCCCCAGCACAGGCCATCGGGGCACCCATTACATGTGTGCTCAGAGACAGGAACATGACCCAGGGGAGCAGTGTGAGGACAGGGCTGGTAGAGCAGGTAAGAATCCAAGCAAATGGCCTTTTGCAGGAAGTCAACACGTCACAATGGCCAACCAACTATAGCAAGGGTTTGGGGCCCCACGTTCATTCCTCCGGCTGCAACTCACATGTCGCACTGTTCCACCAGGCGGGACCTGAGGGCAGGCCAGCTTGTAAGGCAGGTGAAGGCCTCCCTCTGTGCTGAGCATGACTGCTTCTCCCCAGTCACCCCCAGGCTGCTCCCTGGCAGGACAGGCAGACCTACGCTCCCTCCCACCTCGCAGCTGGATTTCCTCCATCTCGGAGCTTTCCTGACCCTCTCTGCACGTGTGTCCAAGCTGTCCTCGAAATGACCCCTAGTCCTGGCTACGACCAGTGTGAACTCACCGTTGAGAGACAAAACCAACAAGCCCTGGCCTTTCTGATCACTTGTTTGTGTGGAGATGGAGTGTCTGCCCCACAGATCGGACCCCTGGCGTGTCTGGGAGGCAGGTCCCTGCTGGCCCGGCCACACCTGAGGGAGGTGAGTCGGTTTCCACCTTAATGTGAATCCAGACAGCAGCACCGCACCCTCGGCTTTGGTCTGAAATCACAGCCCGACTGGTGAGTCGGCACCACCTCCCACGCTCAGGGGGGTCAATGCTAAGTGCAGGAGCCCACAAAGCCAGTGTCTCCGAATAGCCATGGCCCAAACAGTGCTTGCCTCCCACAGCGTTCCCAGCAGGAGGCGGCAGGTAAGTGTGAAGGAAGAGCAGGGGAATCCAGTGTTGCTCCCAATCACCGGTCCCATCTCATCCCTGGTCCTGTTCTTTTTATTTCAGGTTTTCGGGGTACAGGTAGATAAGTTCTTTAATGGTGATTTCTGAGGTACCGCACCTGTCATCCGAATATGTAATCTTTTATCCCTCATCCTTGCTCCCAACCTTCCCCCGCTAGTACGGAAAGTCCATTGTATCACTCTTATGCCTTTGTGTCTTCATAGCTTAGCTCCCGCTTATAAGTGAGAACAGAGGAGATTTGGATTTTTATTCCTGAATTACTTCACTTAGAATAATGGCCTCCAGCTCTATCCAAGTTTCTGCAAAGAACATCATTTGATTCATTTTCCTGGCTGAGCAATATTCTGTGGTGTGTGTGTGCCACATTTTCTTTACACTCTCACTGGCTGATGGGCATGTAGGTTGGTTCTGTCTCATTCCCAGTCCCGCTCTTTACGGAACCAACACCACCTTCCTCAGCCTAGTTCATCTCCAGCCCTGGGCGCCCTGGCCTTTTACATCTGCTGATTGATTTATGCTTTCAAAGCCCTTTCGTTTACAAAGGAAAGAAAGAGAAGCAGGTCAGAAGGGGAGGACCACAGTCCAGCTGCCCCAGAGACGAGCGTCACAACCACCTCTTCCTGCACCTTCAGGGCCTTCCTGTGTAATCAAATCCCCACACCAAGAGCACTTTTGATCCAACTTCCTCAGGCTGAGAACCACCAGCCAAGGACAGAAGATGTCAGCATGAGCCTTGCCCACAGAACCGCTCACACAGGGTCCAGGGTGATCTTTTCAATACCTAAGTGATAAGAGTTTGGCTGTGTCTCCACCCAAATCTCATCCTGAATTCTAGCTTCCATAATTCCCATGTGTCATGGGTGGGACCTGGCGGGAGGTAACCGAATCACGGAGGTGAGTCTTTCCCATGCTGCTCTCGTGATAGTGAATCAGTCTCATGGCATTTGATGGTTCTATAAAGGGGAGTTTCCCTGTACACGCTCTCTCCTGCTGGCTGCCATGTAAGATGTCCCTGTGCTCTGTCTTCTGCCATGATTGTGAGGCCTTCTCAACCATGTGGAACTGTGAGTTCCATTAAGCCTCTTTCCTTTATAAGTTACCCAGTCTCAGGTACGTCTTTATTAGCAGCATGAGCGCAAACTAATACACTAAGTTAGGCCAGTCCCTAAGGAATCCTCTGGAGGTCTGCAGTCTTGCCTCATTCAGAGAAACGCCAAAGTCATTCCAGTGGCTGGCAGCCCCGTCTACGTCCCCTTCTCCTGTCACTCTCCCCTGCTCCTGCCAGGCTGGCCTCCCTGTTGTTCCTCACACACACCCAGAGCTCTCTTGCCTCAGAGCTTTCGCAGATGCCGGGCTCTGTGTCTGGAAAGTTCTTCCTGAATGTCTCTGCCCGACTCACTCACCATGTCATTCAGGAATTTGTTTAAGTCACATTATCAGAGAAACCTTCCATATCTAAAGTAACTCCCCTGTCCTGCAGAAGCCCAGCTCCTGTCCTGTTTTCCATCCTGACACTTATCAACACCGACACACACTGTTTATTTGTTGTCTGTCTTCTCTCACTGAATGTCAGTGCTGGGATGGCTGGACTCTCACCCTGACACAGTGGGAACACCATAACCATGAGTCCAGTGAAAGAACGTGGAAATTGCACTCAGACTCAGCCACTTCCATTGCTGACCAGAGCCTCATGCCTCTTGGCCTCTCTTTCATCACCTTTCGGCGCTGAAATCTCACAACTGGCAGTCACGAACCACAGAAAACGTTAGACGCAGTCAACCTATTTGTGGTGCGCCATACCTCATTCCTCCTTGCAGGACAGCCAGGTCCGCTGTGGGTCTTGTCTCCCCATTCACACTGAAGGCTGAATGCTCTGTGACCAGTTCTCAATTTGGACCACGCTCTCTAGTCACAGCAGCCCAGACTATTCTGTCTCCCAGCCCAAGAAGAACATATCCATTACCCCAGGTGAGTCTGCAGCAACATCTGTGCGGGAAGCAGTTAGTGATCCTCCCAAGCCCCAGCCACTGGGATGTACCATTGAGGGATGTGTCGTATGGCTCAGCCTCTTCATAGTAGCCCTCCGGAGACTCCACTTTTGGGATGGTGAGCTGTTTCCGTTCTGGAATCTGTGGTATGAACAAATAAGACAAACATTTGCAGATACAGTACACTGGGAGCAACTTGGAAATAACTCTTTGGGTGAACTCTAGAAGACAAAAATGCCCAGCTGGACTTTACACTTTAATCAAGTTTGGAGGGAGAACATGTAATGTCATGAATCCCATCAGTCACCATCCACAGTGTTGGCTCTGTAGCCATGAAGGGCTGTGGGCACGCTGTCTAACCTTGCCAAGACTCAGCTTTCTCCCCTGCAAAATGAGGTTCAACCCCCGCTACCATACACACAAAATAGCATTATGTACATGGTGTATCATGCACTTAAAGGTCCAGAGAGTGCTAGGCTGTTGGGATAGCTATTGTGGCTTTTAAATAGAATATATTTTCTAGAACGACAAGGGCTAATCAACAGTACATGTAGAAAGAGGACCAGGTTTCTAAATCCCACACTTTTATCATAATATAGTTGAATCATTCATTCAGCAAATATTGAATGACTTCCATGCACTAGCTGGGAGGGACACATCAAAACGTCAGGAGTCAGTCCTAAGAAAAGCTTGAGTAGCTGGTGAATTTTTAATAGCTCCTGGTCAAGTGCATTGTGATACAGTAGTGCTATAACAGACAAGGTCAAAGTTCGGTGGGAACCAGAGGAGGGTGTGAGGAACATTTAGGACCAAGGAAGGATGCCCAGGGGATGTGACCTTTGAGCCAAGTCTCAAAGAGGACCCTGAGCTTCTTACGTGGGATGAGGTGAACACGTGTAATTTGAGTAGAATAAAGAACGCATGCACTGTGTTAGAAGCACAGAACATGAAATCATTCTCCATTCCTGCCTTATATCACCTGCATGGTCGGCACTAGACTATGAAGCTATGCTTCAGTAAGCTACCTTTATAAGCAACCATGAGGGAGAAAGAGAGGCAACCTGTTACATGACTGTTATGAGAGACGGGCCATGAATGCGTAAGCACCCTTGAACATGGGTCTCCACTGTTTTTTTTCTGGACAGAGTCTCACTCTGTCGCCCAGGCTGGACTGCAGTGGCGCAATCTCAGCTCACTGCAACCTCTGCTTCCTGGGTTTAAGCGATTCACCTGCCTCAGTCTCCTGAGTATCATGGATTACAGGGATACACCACCATGCCCAGCTAATTTTTTGTCTTTTTAGTAGAGATGGGGTTTCATCATGTTGGCCAGGCTAGTCTCCTGACCTCAAGTGACTGCCTGCCTTGGCCTCCCAAATTGCTGGGATTACAGGTGTGAGCCACGATGCCTAGCCCCCACTGTCTTTCTGAATCATGAAACTCCATGGGAATACACATAAAGAGTTCACAACAGAAGTGACAGAAATGGAAACATGCTCCCTTCCACTCTTGATTTTGAGAAGCCCTTGTGCTGGGCCCTCTGTATGAGAGGAAAGGCCTCAGCCTTCAAGGAGGCTTCAAGTGAAAGCACAGGTGGGATAGAGAATAGGGGAGGTTGTAGCGGGGAGATGATGGAGGCAGCAGCCAATGGAAGGACTGTGCAGAGCCCTGAGCTCAGGCGGACCCCTGTGCTTTGGGGGAGAGGATAATGCTAGGAATCCAGAAACTCCTGCCGTGAAAAATGGGTTTATGTGGGGGACCCATGATGGAGGTAGCTCCCCTGGTCCCGGCTCAGGAGATGGTGGGAGGACAGGCAGCCTGTCCCCAGGCCCTGTGGGACAGTCCTCAGCCTGTGCTGCAGGAATATCCATTCCAGCTTCCCCAGGGCAAGGATACCAGGGTCCCCAGAGTCCAGTCCTGTGTGACTTAGAATCTACGGTCTGTCTATATAGACCCTAGAGTTCATGTAACTTGATTTCAATCCAGGCTTTAGGACCTCATAGATTTAACTCTGGGTATCTGACAGCCTCTCTGAGCCTTGCTTTTCTTTATAAAATAATACTAGAGTTGTCTTGAAAATTCAATGAGACAAAACGTGATAGTGTTTCCACAGAGCCTGGCCCATAATAAATACAAGGAGGCCATTGTCATCACTGACTGGGGCCCCTCCATAGCCCCAGGGTCTGCAGGTTGGGCAGCGGGGACAGTTAACGTGACAGGAGCCCAACTACTGGACCGTTGTCCTGCAAGCTGAGACGAAGAGGATCGCTCTGACAGGACATCACAAAGGGTTAGCTGAGGCCAGGCCACAGCCTGGGTCCAGCACCAGATCTGGTTCTGTCCCAACAGAGCTGATATGAGGCACAGGGCAGGCTTGGAATAGCCTTCAGCAACCCCGCCCCGGCATGCGGCACCCCACACAAAGGAAGGAATCAAAGGATTTGGTCAATTTCTTAAGCAAACCGGACACTGAACTGGGCCAACAGACGCGCCGCTGAAGGGAGCCAGGTGTGCAGCACACCACCACCCTGGCTCCTGCCTGGCAGCCAGCCCCAGCAGACAACGGGGTGCCATTGGTAACTGCTAGCACATGGGCCTCCCTCTTTGCCAGCACCAGCCTGGGGAGATGTCTCTCCACTGTCAGCCTTGCCTGGTCCCCTTGGCCAGCCAGCAGCCTGAGAAAAAGCTGAGACGGTGAAAGACCGCCCCATGGTCCACTAACAACATGCTCCCTAGGGTCCATGGAGGAAGGGTCCTCCTCTCGCCCCCGCAGCAGTAAGGACTCCCCAGCCAGCCCTAGTGCTCATGCAGCCTGATCTGGCTGGGCCTCCAACTCCAGCCTCCAAGGAGCTCCATTCCCATCAGGTGGGGCTGGGACCCTTCTATGAGGATGTGGGTCCAATCTGGAGAGAAGCTCTGAGCACCCAAGATCTGGCTCCCAGGTCAGGATTCTGGAAAGTCAAACAGGACAAAGGGAGGCGTGAACCTGTCTGCAGGAGTTCCCCAGGGGTCACTATCACCACAGGTCTGTCACTGGGGGCCCCCTGTCCTGTGGAGGGTGGATCCAGGCAATGTCTCCAAAGCTTCTGTTGAGAAGAAAGAAACCGCTCAGAGGAGTCTGAGCTGCGTGAGGCGTGCAAAATGTATCAAGCCCAGAGGGACGGGAGGAGGGGACTTCAGGCACTTTCCTCCCCTCCCCATTCCTGGGGGCAACTGTTTAAAGGCCTTTGATCCTTCACCAGCTGCCTCATCGCTTATCTTCAGGTTCCTGGAATTTATGATACAAAGAACAATGTTTAGCTGATCAATAGCTTATGGTATTTTAACGTAAAATATTGGTAAATAACTTAAATACTGCCTCTTTTTCCTTTGAAAACCCACTTGTAACTGCTGCCAATAGAAGTGTGGATTCAGACTCGAATCTGTGCTCCTGGGCTGCAGACCTCAAATTTGGTCAGAACAAACTCTCTACTTCTATGTATTTGGCCTCTGTTTTTTGCCTACAGGTTGACACTGCGAAATCTGAAAACGACTCACTATGGAGAGACAGTGCAGGGCAGGAGCGGGGTCCGATCTCCAGAACCAGGCTTGAACCCTGACAGTGGAATACCCTCGCTGTGTGACTCTGACCAACTCACTTGACCTCTGGACTTGGTGTAAAATGGGGAGAGTAGAAATATCTGTCACAAGGGCTGCTGTAAAGGATTGAAGCATGCCTATCAATACATATTAGCTTTTACTACTCAAAAATTAAATGTAAAAATAAGAAAGGGAGAAAAGCTTTGCGTACATGTTTGCTGGAGGATAAACCAATGTACTCTGCGGTGGGTACAGAGGAGACCACAGGACGGAGTCCCAGCTCTCAAGGATGCTGGGTTAAATGAGTCACATGATTACACAGACACAATGACCTATTATCAGAGCTCCAAGGAGAGAGATCCTCATCCCACAGGGTTAAGGAGAAAGGGCTATTATTTTAATTATCATCATTATGATGGTGAAGACTATGAATTACATATATATATACTTTTTTTGAGGTGGAGTCTCGCTCTGTCACCCAGGCTGGAATGCAGTGGCATGATCTCAGTTCACCGCAACCTTCACCTCCCAGCTTCAAGTGATTCTGTCTTAGTCTCCCGAGTAGCTGAGATTACAGGCGCACATCACCACACCTGGCTAATTTTCGTATTTTTAGTAGAGACAGGTTTTTGTCATGTTGGCCAGGCTGGTCTCAAACTCCTAACCTCAGGTGATCTGCCTGCCTCGGCCTCTCGAAGTGCTGGGATTACAGGAAGACCGTGAATATTAAATGAGGATGCAGAAGAGATTTAACGTCAAAACCTGAGTAATTTTCTGACTAGAGGAAGGGACTGTGTGAGCGAGTCAGGCTTGGCAGGATTGACCAGACCAGAGGTCCAGAGGGCTGCAAATCTTTTCAGGAAAGGGCCAAGTAGTAAATATGCTAGGGATTTGTGGGCTATCGGGACCTCTGTCTTATCTCAGCTATTCAACTCTGCTTACTGTGGCTCAGAAGTCCACAGACTAATAAAACTAAGTAACTGTAGCTGTGTTCCAGTAAAACACTGTTTACTAAAGGACGCTGCAGATCAGATCTGGCCACTGAGCTACAGTTTGCCAACCCCTGGCTTAGACTAGACACAGGAGCTGATGAGGGGTGGCCCAGAGGACCTGAGGTGTCCTTGCAGCTCAAAGCACCCTGGCCCAGAGTACACTGTGGAAGGCTCCCAGCTGGGGGTGAGTGGACAGGCCAGCCCCAGCCTCCCGGACTAGCCATGGCGATGTCCTTTGAGGGAGTAGGTGGCTTCCCCCACAGAGCAGCTCATGTAAGAGCAGGGCCAGTGTATGTCCAGGCCTCAGGGGGACAGTGGAGTGGAGATGGCCGTGTTAGCCAGACCAGCAACCGTGGCAAACAAACATCTGTTTCTCCGGCAAGGACCACAGCACCTGACTGTGTCAACAGCAGCCTGGAGAGGCCACAGCTGCCTGAGTCACTGTCCACACCCACGAGGTCGCTCCAAACCCCTGGCTGCCCTTTCTATCGCTGGACAGACCTGCTCTCTACTGAGTCTGTAGGGTTAGTGTGAGGACATCCAGGCTCGTGGCAGACAAGCATACCGAACCTGCGACGGAGGCATGATCCTGGCCCCGCCAGGGGTCCTGAGGACCCCAGGCAGACGTCCGGCTGCTGCTGCAGGTGACGGGGAACCCAGGGCCGGGCAGCTGTGTGGGACCAAACCCTCAGCAGGATGAGCCTCCCTAGCACCTTGAAGCTCTGGGATTGGGGGAGGAAAGGATGGGTTTTCTGTCTGGGGAAGAGAGGCCACAGGGCATGCCAGGCTCGGGGCTGGGGTTCCTGCGGCCACGGCCTCTCCCTGGTCTGGTTCTTCTCCTCCTCCAGAGCCACAGACATGGCTCTGTCCTGACACTGCTTCTCCGGGGGCCTTGAACTAAGAGAGATGACTGCTTCAGCCTGATTCGACTGGAGAGGAAGCCTGAGGGAGTGAGGACGTGTGCTCATGTGTGTGGCAAGGCCAGGGAGAGTCCCCAGAGGACACCACCCACATCTTCACACCACATCTGGAACCCCCTGGGGTGGAGGTTGGGCCCTTGCAGGAGACCAGGAGGGACCTAGACAGGGGAGTCACGGTCCACACCCCTCTCTGGTCCTTCGCAGCAGAGAAAGTCCACAAAGTGGGAAGGAGCTGCTTTTTTCTGTCAAGTCAGCTGGCTTTGCTAGAAGTCTCCCTGGGGCCGGGAAGCTGTTCCCAGGAACAGTTACCACTCGGCTGAAACGCCACCTGAGGACTGTGCCGTTCCCAGGTGCTGATATTTTCCCCAGCTGCAGTAGTTTCTCTCAAACAGGGACACAAGCCCTAGTCACAGGCGACAACCCAGGAAGTCTCCTCTAGAGGGGGCCATGTGCTCCCTCCCCACACTCAGTGTCTGACGCACAGGGCACTGGCAGAGGAGCAGAAGCCAGCACCAGAATCCCAGGGCCCACAGGGTCTCACCATGGCCCAATTAACACAGCTTCAGCCAGGTCCCAGACCCTCAGGGCCCCTCAGTCCATGCCGTCTGTAAAACACAATTTCTAGAATGCTCATATAGGACTCGGTGCCCATGAAACTCTGCCCCTACCCACCAGGTGAGGATGCACCAGCAGCTGCTCCTGCTGTGGTAGAGGATGGCACTTCCACTAGCAAAGCCCAAGGCACCTTGGTGAGAATCAGATGCTCGATTTAGGATAGAAAAGTTCCGGCCTGGCCTCAGAACAGCCGCCTTTCCACTCCTACCACCCTGCAAGCAACTCCTGGGACACACCAGAAAACCTCTGGTTAAAGCTGTCAGCGAACGGATGGGACGGCAGAGGGGCTGTGCTGTTCCCCCAAGTGCCGAGGCTGAAGGCGAGGGGAGCCCAGCGCTTCAGGGAGCACAGCTGAGCCCTTGCTCTGCTGCAGAGAGCAGCACATGTCAGGGAGGCCCAGGCTGGGGAGGAACCGGGAACAACAACAGAAAACCTGCACTGAAAGCCTGGCCTAGTACCTCCCAACCGAGGGACCTTGGCCAGTGGTTTTTAACTCTGAGTCTGTTTCTTCACATGAAAAACAGTAATGAAAATACCTATCCCTTGATGGGAGGTGGGCGGATGGTGTGTGTGCATGGTGTGGGCTCAGAGTGTAGCAGTCAAGGGCACTGTGAGCATCTCAGGGACATCAGGGATTCAGGATCAGTCTTGACCTCAAGCTTCACTCAGCCTGAGATGAGAAGTCCCCACCAGCTGTCGCGCAGCTCATGGGATGGCATGCAATGGGACGCTGTCCCACATACCCTGGAACTGCCCACCCACCCCACATGGTGGAGTCATATCCTCAGCTGTGGCCCCTGCCCCCCAGGAAGGCGCGAATGAAGGGGCCGGTCCAGAGCTATTCTGAGGCTGGGATCTCCTCTACAGGAACAAGGGGCCACAGATCAGGCGATGGCCACTTGGCGGGCACTTAGCTTCCTGCTGGTGCTGACCCCAGGCCCCCTGGCTACCCATATAAACCCTTCTAAGCTGAGACCCTACTCCCTCCCCCTAGGATCCCTCCCAGCCATCCCCTACAGCAGGCGTCCCCAAACTGCGGCCCCCTGAGGCCATTTATCCGGCCCCCCGCCGCACTTTAGGAAGGGGCACCTCTTTCATTGGTGGTCAGTGAGAGGAGCACAGTATGTGGCGGCCCTCCAAGTGGTCCGAGGGACAGTGAACTGGCCCCTGTGTCAAAAGTTTGGGGACTGCCTGTCCTACAGAGTAAAGAACCTGGGTTCAAATTCTGACTCTGTCACTTACAGGCTGTGTGACATTAGGTTTCCTCACCCTTAAAATATAAATACTACCACTTTCCTCACTGAATACTAGCACAGTATGCCACACGCAGTGCTAAGGGGCTGCCAGCCTTAGCCCATTGAATAAGGCCATTGGATGAGACAGATGTGAGCATTTCTTCCATATAAGCCAGGAACTAGAGGAGCAGAGACTTGAAATAACTTGCTCAAGGTCAAAGAGCTAGTAGCAGGCAGAACTGGGATTTGAACCCACATCCATATGATTTTACAATTCCATCCTTCCAGAGTAATGGATATTTATGTATGGCCTGCACGTGTCCATGTCTGCAGATACTGGACGCAAAGTAGTAAATGAGAGACAAGGTCCCTATTCTAGGGAGCCGACCTCAGGAGAGGAGGCAGTCCACAGCACTGTTCCAGTAGCAGGTACCACGGAGCGGGTAACTGGTGGTGGGTGGATAGCAACCTGGGTGCAGATGGGGGAGGATGCCTCACTTAGCCAGGTCAGAAGTGTCTCTAAGAACTCTGGAGAGATGAGAAAGCGGTAGGGGCCCAGGAGGTGCAAAGTCCCTAAAGCAGCCCTGACAGAATTCTGTCACCACAGTGACAGAATCCAGGGGCAGAAGGGAGGCCACTGCAGACACTGGATGAGGGGGTGGGACATGTGACTGAGCGAGATCATGGGCCTGGGGCCATGCTAAGGAACGGGATGTTTTTTCTATGTTTAATGAGAACTATTGGTAAGGTTCAAACAGGAAGTGCAGTATGATATGATTTATGAATTTTTACCTTTCCTTTACTTTTTAACTGTAGAACAATGTGGGGGTTTATTTATTATTTATTTATTCATTTATTTTATATCTTAAAGGTGGGCTCTTGCTAGGTTTCCCAGGTTGGGGCAGTGGCTATTCACAGGTGCAATCACAGTACACTACAGCCTCAAATTCCTGGCCTCTAGTAATCCTCCTGCCTCAGCCTCCTGAGTAGCTGGGACTGTAAGTATGCAGCACTGCACCTGGCTTTTGCAAAGTTTTTAAAGGTCACTGTGGCCTAGGCTGGTGACCACAGCTGTTCAGGGCCCTGTCCACATGGTGCTGGGTAAAGAGCCTGAGTAGCATCAGGTGGCACTGATCAAATCTCCCCAGCGTCTGGGGTACTGTGGCCCCAAGCAAATCACCCGTAAGCAGGTTTACTTTTGCTGTCCCTGCCTGCACCTTGCCCCAGTCCCTGCAAACAGTAGCTGCTCAGAAGATGACAGACATTTGGTAGGCAGATACCTGTGAGGACAACTGGAAGTTCAACGGGCTCCTATCAGGGAAATCAGGGGTCCTGGGCTGACACTTACCATCTTGGGTGGTGGGAGGTCTGGAAGGCTCTTCTGAGGGGCCGAGGAGTGCTGGCTGGGCTCACCATTGGGCAGCAGGCTCTGCTCCTCAGGTGCTGTAGGCAGCAAAGGGAGAAGGCTTTGGTAAGGGGTGCCCGGCCTTACACAGGGTCTCCTTACTCAGAAATGCCCAGTCACATATACCCCGTGAGTTCTTTTTGAGCAGGTGTTAATTACCCAGGCAGGCGGTCCCTGGAGCTGAAGTTGTTTTTCCTCCAAAAATAGGGTACAATAGTGCCCCAGCCATGTGCCTGGCATTTCTGGAAGCCTCTGTACCTGCTCCCCTACCCCACCCCCCATGTCAAAAAAAAAAAAAAAAAATAGGTCTAGCCACAGAGCTCCGGCCAGCAGAGGAGCTGCCTAGTGGCCACTATATTCAGCCACTCTCAGCATGGACCCTGTGATTATGGCTCTTTCCTCCCACAGTTTACCCGGAAGGCAAGTGACCCTGGCCAGAGTGGCCAACCTCATCTGGATGAGTTCTGCCAAGTCCCAGGCTTGGTGGGGGGCAGGAAGTGAAGGAGCCGCAATGGGGAAGTTAGGCCACCAACCCTTAGTGCGCTTGGAAGGAATGGTGCTGAAGACCCTTCCGAGCCTGTCCATTTCAGCCAGCCCTGGGACAGACAGGCTTGGGCAGGCCTGACCTCGGGGCTTTGGTGGCTGATGTCTCAAAGACAAGCCTTCGACAGGACTGAGTGCTTTGCAGTGCTGTGTTCCACCCCTCTCTAAGCCCCTGCGTTCAAGTCACAGGCCCGGGAGTTAGGAGATGGAGCTTCTTAGCCTGCCTCTTCTGCAACGAGGCAGCTTGGCATACTTCTGGGTCTGCCTGGGGTCCTGACAGGCCCCTCCCTGGAGTCTTTAAGGGAAAAGCAGAGAGCAAAACAGAGCAGAAGAGTGAGGCACCACGGAAGACAGCATGTGTCCTTCTCACCGGAGAGAAAACGTTCCGCCAAAGACAGCACCTTTGAATGTGATCTTTGACTATCAAGGCAGTTGCTGACACTACCATTTATTTCTCTCTCTTCTTCCTCAACATAGACTTCTATCAAAAGACGTAAAGGCGGAACTGTGGGATCAGCATCACACACAGCTGCTTTCTTCGAACATCTGAATTATGACTTCCTGTTCCTGGGATGATGCTGGGAACAGCCAAAAAGTTTTAGGGCCAGATTCCTTATCCAATGGGCAAGGAGGGGGTGGCCTGTTGAAACATCCCAAAATACATCAACCCAAAATACCACCAACCAAAATGCAGCTTCCAAAAATAACTCCGCCAGGCCGGTCTGTGTGCTGGCTGGGAGGAAGGAAAGGTGGGAGAGAACCAGCTCGGACCTCCCCGCATCCCTGGAGCGGCCATCCCTTCAGCGATCCCAGCCACATACCTTTGCCTTGAGACTCTGCATTCTGTTGCTTATTGATGGTCACTTTGTTCATGTAAATGTACTCCTCATCGGAGCCTGCAGAAGGAAGGAGACATGGGCTTCGTGTGACTTCATGAAGAGAAAGGGCCTCTAGCTAGATACCCTGTTCCCCCAGAGCACTTTTCATCTGTTTGCGTTCCAGTAAAAGCACACAGCAATTTCAGGGGGTTGAAAGAGTAGTCCAACATGGAAAGAACTGACATTTCCAAAAGAGAAATGACAAGTTGCTGACTGCTAGTTTTCTAGCCTGGCCGAGGGTGCGGGGGCAGGTAAGATACAGAAGGATAGCTTAAGGAATAAAAATCCTGCACTTTGAGAGGCTAAGACGGGCGGATCACTTGAGGTCAGGAGTTGGAGACCAGCTTGGCCAACATGGTGAAACCCTTTCTCTACTAAAAATACAAAAGTTAGCCAGTCATGGTGGCATGTGCCTGTGATCCCAGCTACTCAGGAGACTGAGGCAGGAAAATCACTGGAACCTGGAGGCAGAGTTTGCAGTGAGCTGAGAACGCACCACTGCACTCCAGCCTGGGGAACAGAGTGAGACTCCATCTTAAAAAGAAAAAAAAAAGAAATCTTAAGTTCAAAGATCTACCTTCTATCCCACCAAGCAGAGATGTGTCTGAGCTTCCTAGAATTACCTTTAAATTATAAAATATTTCTGATCAGCTGGGTGCAGTGGCTCATGCCTGTAATCCCAGCACTTTGGGAGGCCAAGGCAGGTATATCACGAGGTTAGGAGATCAAGACCATCCTGGCCAACATGGTGAAACCCTGTCTCTACTAAAAATACAAAAATTAGCTGGGCATGGTGGCGCGTGTCTGTAATCCCATCTACTTGGGAAGCTGAGGCAGGAGAATTGAATCCCGGAGGCAGAGGTTGCAGTGAGCTGAGACTGCACTGCAGCCGGTGGCGGGGGGAAGCAGGGGTGGGAGGAAGGGGGGATGGAGAGGAAGAGAGGGAGAGAAGGAGGGAGGGAGGGAGAAAGAAAGGGAGAGGCTCCATCTCAAAAAATAAATTCTGTCATTCTCACTCTAGTCTGAATTACTTGAATGGGTTAATCCGCGTGATGTGTAGATAAGGCAGGTCACACTGAAGACGTGGAAGTTTAGCTCTAGGGCCATTGGATGAGTGAGGGGGACTGGAATACCCAAACCACATGAGTTCTGAGTTTAAAGGGGTAAGTATCCCAAGAGTAAGAACTAGAGAGCCACCAGCCACTAGCTCTACCCTATAGATTATACCCTGCGGTGGTACAACCCATGCCCTCCTTTAAAATCACTCCTGTGCAGTTTAAGTCACCTTTCCCATGCCTGTCTGGGCAGAGAAAAGCTGGCCTCATAACTCCTGCTCTATTTCCCATCCCTCAAGGTCCCTCCCTTCAGAAGCCTTCAGAGGAAGCTCATCCTAGTGTTTCTCTTTGTCAAAATCCTCTTGAATTTCTTCTGCAGCCTGAATTTGCATTTCCTAGAAACTTGTGGCTGATAAATTCCAGTGGTTGGAGACCGCATTACTGAGCCAAAGGACCCAATTCTAACCTCTGGCAAAGGAAGCAGTTCAGCGTCCCTCTGTTCCACCACCACAGACTGCCCAAACTCCAGCCAACAAGCCTGAAGAGCAGGGCCCCGAGAGCCAAGAGGAACAGGAGGGGGCTGGAGGCAGCCTCAGTGATCAGCGCCTGTGTTCGTCACCTTGGTGCCTTGCCCTGACAGGACCAGTCAGCAATGTCACCCCATGCTAGGGACTGCAGCATTTATGGGTGGGAGCTATGAGGTACAAATGGAATGAACCAGAACTCAGACTCCCATCCATTGAGACTCAAAGAGGGCTGGGTCCCTTCTCCAGAGCATGGCACAGGGGAAAAGCGCCCTGCAGGGAGAGGCGGGAGACGGGTTTCAAACAAAGCTTTGCCATACGGCATAAATCTGGGCAAAGCACCTAACCCTTGTGCCTCTGTTTTCTTGTCTGCATAGCATGGAAAACAATCATGATGAAATATTGCCTGTTCAACCAAACTCTTCTGTTTTCAAGAGTATAAAACTCAGGTACTAGGGGGGCTTGAAAAGGTAAGGTAACCTTGCAACTGACAAAGAAGAAAAATGACAGCTTAAAACATGGGAAATGACTCAAGGGCTGAACAATAGGAAAAGGGCAACATAAACCATGGCACATCAACACATGTAATAGCAAGTCACCTTTCAAAACCAGAGGGATTACTCAACAGTATATAAATTGGCATGGCTATTTTAGAGATGATTTTGGAGGATAAATTTTTGTGTTCATATTCTTTGATCCAGCATTTCTATTGCCAGAAATTTATCCTACAGATAAACTCCAGCATTTACAGAAAGTTCTATTTGAGGACATTCACTGCAATATTGCATATTTTTTTTAAAAAAAGAATATAACTTAAACATCTACCATTGGAGGGCTGGTTAAACGTTAGGATTCATCCAGCACTGAACTCCACCCAAGGTAGCTCTGTGTCTGCTGTTTACGAAGATATCCAAGACTTCAAGTTTAATTATAAGATCATGTTTCAGACTAGCAGAAAAAGTTTATGAATTGTCAACACATGGAAATGTGTGCATGCAGCAATTCTAAATATAAAATAATGTAAAGCAGAAACAGAGACAAACCACAACTGCTCCAAAATACTCAGATAATGCTGATAAAAATCAGAAAAGGAAATGGAACATAGTGTTCAGTGTTCATTTTTTTTAATATCATTAAGTTCACGCACCTGTACAAAAAAATAAAAGACAAATGTTACTGTTTTAAATGTTAGATTCTGAGCTGGTGCTTTCTAAGATGATGATTTGTAAATTGCAGAGAAAACTCAGGCTGGCCACTTCATGAGGGTACACCCACCCACCTTGGGTGCGCTGTAGGCTGAGGCTGACTTGGTTTTGATTCCCAGAGGATTGCTAATCCAGGACTATCCGGGTTGGAAAGTAACAGGCTCCAGAGACCTTCTGCAATTGTGGGAAAAGTACAGTAAACCTGGTCCCAGACAGAAAGGCTGCGGACAGGGAGGCCAGACTTCTCAGTCCCATTTGGGAGGTGGCAGCCTTGGGCTAGAGAACTTTCTATCATTCAGTCAATTATCTCCAGAAGTGCAGTCAGCATCAGCACTGTACTCAGTGCTGGGTATACAGCAGATAACAAAACAGATGTTGTCTCTGCCTTTGTGGGCCCCATAGTCTAGCAGGGGAGACAGACCTGAATCCGATGGTCACACAGCGAGTGGGAAATGACTATGGCCTGAAGGTGTTGGGAAGGTGAACTGGAAGTGCTTGGAGGTCTGCAGAGGGTGGTCTTTCCCAGAGAACTGGCATAGGGTGGGGGAGGAAGAACATGAACCTCTTTGCTACCATTGGATAGAGAACAATTGCCCCCCCTCAATGAGAGGGGCAGCCACTGAAATGTCCCTAGAGCCTCTGAGGGTGGGTGGGGGGGGGGTAGTGTGAGGCAAGTGTGGGGGCTGGCAGGGTGGGGACACAGCTCTCGCTGGTGAAAGCTGAAAGAGACCCCAGGGACCAAGCCCTCCACAAACAGATCCTAGTTTGTGCCTTGACCTCTCCATCCAGACAAAAAGCAAAGAGCATAGAAAATATGTTACACCAAGAAAAAAAAAAAAAAATCAAAGATCAGAAAACCCAGATAGACAATTCCATTTGTAAAGTGTAAATGCACACATACACATCCTGCCCAAAATGCGTGCAAGTGCCCAACAGCTCAGCCTGTGTGGACCACGGCTATCTAGAGATGATCACCTTGTCTCCACCTACAAGTCTCCACAGGCTGAGCTAATTTTTTGACAGAGGCGGGCCTGGAAGGCCAAGGGAAAGAATGCTGTCAAGTCAGGTGTGGTATGTGTGTTTAGGATTCTGTCCTGTGCAACACAGGTTACTGCAGTGCAATAGAGCAGGTGGAGATAAGGTCAGATCCACCTGCCCAGGCCTAAGCTCTGGCTCTGCCCTCAAGCCATGTGCCCTCAGGCAAGTGACTTGCAGAGGCTTGGTTTCCTTGTGGGTAAAATGGGAATAGGCTTTGGGATGAGGAATGAATGCATGTCATTTACTACATCAAGTAGAGGGACACGGAGTACACAGTAAACATTGGCTGTCATTGTATCTTCTGCAGACTCTACCCACTTTGCAGTCAAGGGGTGCAAGAGGACCGGAAAGGAAGTTCTGTTAAACAGTGGCTGCTAACAAGTGGGCTTCACTTCTGAGAACATAAGCCCAAAGCCTCAGAGTGGCTGTGCATGGGTGGCACTCTGGAGGCGATTCACCTTGGGGAGTCCGTGACCAGTTCCCAGCAGCTTCCCACCCACTACAAGCTGCAGAGTCCAAGGAGAGGGGAAGGCCTGACTTTTATAAGAACTGATCAAGGGCAGAACAAAAGGGTTATCCTACAGGAAGCCATATCACAAGTTCATTCAAAAGAGACCCCATGTAGGAGGGGCTGCCAGAGCCATTAGCACCGAGAACCATGAGTCAGACCTATTACAAACAGGTGCTTTCCAGTTCCCAGCAGAGACGTTCTTTATCATTGAACGTTCAAGGTGGAGCACATCTAAGTGGTCTGGGGAGTGTGCTTTACAAAGGATTCCACTGATGAATCCTTCATGGAGTGAGTCATCCCCCTCTAACTTTCCCGCTTTATAATGTGGATTTCCCATCTGCGTTCCCATGGTGGACTTCTTTGATGTATTGCTGACCAGCACTCGTGGCGGCAGACGGCAGGCGGGTGAACGCTCCCTACAAAGCCTTCGGGAGCCTGGGAAGCTGCAAAGGCTGAAGGAAAACACCTCTGATGAGACACTAGGGCAGATGATTCCTCCAGAAGAGAAGGCGAATGGGCATATACCAACACGCCTCGGCTTTACGACTGCTATTCAGAGACTAGAGCAGGCGTCCCCAAACTGCGGCCCCCTGAGGCCATTTATCCGGCCCCCTGCCACACTTCAGGAAGGGACACCTCTTTCATTGGTGGTCAGTGAGAGGAGCACAGTATGTGGCGGCCCTCCAATGGTGTGAAGGACAGTGAACTGGCCCCCTGTGTAAAAAGTTTGCGGACGCCTGGACTACAGACTAGTTCCATGGGGAACACAGGAGGGGAGAGGCCTCAAAATGTAACCTGGCAGATTCAGGTTGGATACAATGAAGTATTTCTGGACTGTGATACTGTGATGACTGGGGCAGGTGGAGACTTCCCTTCTCTGGCAGGACATGGGCTGCCCCTGCTGAGAGGCAGATGGATTAGATGCTCTCACATGGTCCCCGACTGTCCCCATACAGCACTTCCAATTCTCAAACATCTGACATCGAAATCAACTCAACTGTTAGGACTTCACAAAAAGGTTTTTCTTTTTTTTTAAAGAATCTGAATTTGCGAGAAAGAAAACCATATGTCCACAAGAAGACTTATTCAAGAATGTTCCTAGCTGCCTCGTTCGTAATACTCCAAATCTGTGAACAATCCTAGTGCCCATCAATGAGCGAATGGATAAACAGATTGTGAACTATTCACAGGATGGAATACTACTCAGCAACAAAAGGAACAAACTGCAGACACACGCAATGGCACGGGTGAATCTCCAGAGAAGACCAGAAATACGGTAAGCATCATATGAATCTGTTTCCACAAAGCACCAGCGCAGGCAATGTTAATCCGTGCCAGGAGAAAGTCAGCACAACGGTTGCTTGTGTTGGGCAGCTGAGAATGGCCAAGACAGAACTTTCTGGATGATGGAAATGTTCTATATCTTGTTTTGGGTGATAAGGACACCAGGGGTAAACAACTATCAAAACTCACTCAATTATTTTATATATGGGCACATTATACGCAAACTCTATCTCAATTTAAAAAAAGACAGAAAAATTATGGACTCAGGGTTCTGTAATTTACAGTCTTCCAACTATGTTTTCCCTTGGGTTGTATCATATTGAGCAGGTTATTTAAACTCTCCAGGTCTCCGTTTCCCCTCTAACAATAGCACCAGCCTCAGAGAGGTCTTGAAGATGAACCAAGTTATTACGTGTACTCGTGGGAATGCTCAACACACCCTCGCTATTATTATAGTTTATTATTCCATTTCTACTTTCAACCAGCATAAAGGAAGAGTGCTTCGAAAATACTTTAAAACCTCACTCATGGGCTATGTCAAGTAATGAGAGATTTCTGGGGCTCCCGCCCAAGTTGGGGCAGTCCTGCACCATCGCTATGTGGTGAAGTGTGTCCCCTCAAAATTCATATATTAAATCCGAGCACACAGTATACCTCAGAATATGACTGCATTTGGAGATAGTTACCCCTTTGAAAACCCTAAGTTAAAATAAGGTCATCGGGGTGGCCCTAATCCAGTGTCTGATATCCTTATAAAGAGAGGAGATTAGGGCCCAGGCACAATGGCTCACACCTGTAATCCCAGCATTTCGGGAGGCCGAGGTGGATGGATCACCTGAGGTCAGGAGTTTGAGAACAGCCTGGCCAACATAGCGAAACCCTGTCTCTACTAAATATACAAAATTAGCCAGGTGCGGTGGCAGGTGTCTGTAATCCCAGCTACTCTGGAGGCTGAGGCAAGAGAATTGCTTGAACCTGGGAGGCAGAGGTAGCAGTGGGTGGAGATCACGCCACTGTGCTCCAGCCTGAGTGACAGAGAAAGTCTGTTTCAAAATAAACAAAAACAGAGAGGAGATTAGGGCCGGGCAGGTGGCTCAAGCCTGTAATCCTGGCACTGTAATCCTGGCCGAGGCAGGGCGGATGGCTTGAGCCCAGGAGCAAGACCAGCCTAGGCAACATGGCAAAATCCCATCTCTACCAAAGAAAGAAAAAGGAAAAAAGCTGGGCATGGTGGCATGCACCTGTAGTCCCAACTACGTGAGAGCCCAGGAGGTTGAGGCTGCAGTGAGCCATGACTGCGCCACTGTACTCCAGCCTGGGTGACAGAATGAGCCTCCGCCTCAAAAAAGTTAAATAAAAAGAGGAGATTGGGACACAGACACAGAGGAAACCCACGTGAGGACACAGGGAGAAGACAGCCACCAGCGGGCCAGGGAGAGGCCTCGGGAGAGGCCAAACCGGTTGGTACCTTGATCTTAAGACTTCTGGCCTCCAGAAGCATGAGAAAATAAGTGTTTGTAGCGCCCAGCCTGTGGTCCTTAGCTGCGGCAACCTGCACGGACTCACAGCGTTTGTCTGCAAAGAGGCCTCTGGCCCCCCGGGACCCACACTCACTGCTGCTTTTGGTGTAGAGCCGGAGGAGCTCCGCCAGGCAGCTCTTCTTCACCAGCGCTGTGCTGCTCAGGTTCTCCTGGTCCAGGATCTTGAGGAAGTCATCCAACTCTGTCAGAAGCTGCTCCAGGGCTAGGGACAGAAAACAGAAGACACTTACAGCACCTGCCCTCTCTCCAAAGGCCCAGCTCAGATATACCTCGAACCCTCTAGTTCCAAGAGGAAGGGTTTGGTGTGAGGTCGGGCAGCTTGTCGGGGGAGTGGGCAGGAGGTGGGATTCCCAGCTTCAGGGCCACAGGGAGAGACAAACGGGCCTTTGGCTTGGAGATGAACAGCCCCCGCTGAAGCCCCAGGCCTACCAGGTGCTGGAGGAGTGACGACGGCCTCATCCACCAACATTCTATCTCCTCCACTGCCAACGTCTGCCCTCCCAGGACTCTCCAGGAAACTAAGGAAGCACTACCTCCAAAGCGTTTTGAGGGCTGTTGAGCTCTGCTGTTGGAGCTGCGGCTAGAATCAGGGTTGGTCTCATCCTGATCCTCTGGGTGGCTCTGGGCCCATTACTTCTTAGGTCCTTTAGGTCAAATGCTTTGTCAAGTTCCTTCCAGCTCTGAAGTTTTATAGTTCCAAGCCACACCTTGGCTGCATGGCTTTAAAGTACTAATCTGCTCACAGGTTGTCCATGTTTAAAAGCCACACCTGAGGCCGCGAGCAGTGGCTCACACCTGTAATCCCAGTACTTTGGGAGGCCGAAGTGGGAGGATCTTGAGGTCAGGAGATCAAGACTATCCTGGCCAATATGATGAAACCCCGTCTCTACTAAAAATACAAAAGTTAGCTGGGCATGGTGGTGCACGCCTGTAGTCCCAAGTACTGGGGAGGCTGGGGCAGGAGAATCAGTTGAACTGGGGAGGCAGAGGTTGCAGTAAGCCGAGATCATGCCACTGCACTCCAGCTTGGCAAGAGACTGGGACCCCGTCTCAAAAAACAAAACAAAAACAAAACGAAAAGCCACACCTGTTCCTCAGAAGCCCCACCTGGCCTCCAAAGCCCTGCAGAGTGCAGCAGCCTCACCCATGGTCACTGTCACACTCCACAGCCCCGACACTGCACCGCTCTCTCCTCCTCTGGCTTTCATGCTTCAGGGTCTCCTCTGCTAAATCACGCCTGTCCCTCTGTTACCGGTGGTAGTTACCATGCGGATCTGCAGCAGCCTCAGTTCTTGCCTCCTCAGAAGAAAGAATTTGACTGAGGCGAGTTCCGGCGCAGAAGTAAAGGTTTGTTAAAAAGCTTTAGCTGGGCATGGTGGCTCACACCTGTAATCCCAGCACTATCAGAGGCCAAGAGTTCGAGACAAGCCTGACCAATGTGGAGGAAACCCCATCTCTACAAAAAAAATACAAAATTAGCCAGGCTAATTGTATTATGCGAGCTCCTATAATCCCAGCTACTCGGGAGGCTGAGGCAGGAGAATCGCTAGAACCCGGGAGGCGGAGATCACTCCATTGCACTCCAACATGGGCAACAAGAGTGAAACTCCGTCTCAGGAAGAAAAAAAAAAAAAAAAAAAGCTCTAGAACAGTAGGGAAAGGAAAAAGCAGTCCAGCTTGGAACACAGCCACATGGGCAACTTGAGAAACCAAGCGTGAGGACTGACCCCGTCACTTGGCGTTTTATACACTGGCATACTTCCGGGATCTCGCGTTACTTGTCCTGCCCGAAAGCTTACTGGGAAGCTGCCATTGGTTTCAGATGTTTTCCATTAGGAGCCTGCCTTTCCCTGCACTGGCTGTGACCAATGATTACTTAGAGAAACAGTTAACAACTGCCTGTCCATCACCCCATGGTTCATCCAACACTCCTAGTGTGTGGGGCAGGGTGGGGCGCCCTCTCCTGCCCTGCTCATGTCTAACGAGCTACCCACTGTAACACCTCAGGTCTTGGTCTAGATAACATTCCTCCTGAGACCCCTTCTCTGGGCCTCTTTAACAGATAATCCCATGTTACCAGCACTGGCCTCTGGGGTGGGCTAAATATTGAGCCTCCAATGATGTGCATGACTTGACCCCCCGAATCTGTGAATATGCTACTTGACATAGCAAAGGGATGTCACAAATGTGATTTAATTAAGGAGATTATCCTGGTTTGTGCAGGTGAGCCCTTACAAGAGGGAGGGAGGCAGGTAAGAGTCAGGGAGATAAGATGCCACCATGTTGGCTTTGGGGCTGGAGGAAGGGACCATGAGCCAAGGAACACAGGGGGCTTCTGGAATCTGGAAAAGGCGAGGAAGTAGATTCTTTCCTAGAGCCTCCAGAGAAACAGAGCTCCGTGGCCCCCTCTCAGATTCGGATCTCCAGAACTGTAAATTAATGAGTTCATGTTGCTTTATGTCACCAAGTTTGGTAGTTTGTTACAACAGCAATAAGAAACTAAGACACCCTCTCACAGCTCTGATTGCGCCATAGTGTAGCTGTCTGCATCACCATTTAGCTGCAAACTCCAAGGACAGGCTTTGTGTGGAGCTCACATTTCCAGGGCCCAGCACAATGTCCAATAAATATTTGTGGACTTGGGTGGACGCACTGGCTCATGCCTGTAATTCTAGCAGTTTCGGAGGCCAAGGTGAGTGGATTGCCTGAGCTCGGGAGTTTGAGACCAGCCTGGGGAACACAGTGAAACCCCATCTCTCTTGGCCGGATACGGTGGCTCACGCCTGTAATCCCAGCACTATGGGAGGCCGAGATGGGTGGCTCACCTGAGGTCAGGAGTTCAAGACCAGCCTGGCCAACATAGTGAAACTCCATCTCTATTAAAAAAAAAAAAAAAAAAAAAAAAGTAAAAAGTAAAAAGAAAAAAGAAAAAAAAAAGAAATCCCATCTCTACCAAAGATACAATAAATTAGCTGGGCATGTTGGCGTATGCCTGTAATCACAGCTACTCGGGAGGCTGAGACAGGAGAATCGCTTGAACCTGGGAGGCAGAGGTTGTAGTGAGCCGAGATTGCACCATTGTACTCCAGCCTAGGCGACAGAGGGAGACTTAGTCTCAAAAAAAAAACTGTTGACTAAATGAGTAAATGAAAGTTTAGTGGCCTGGATTAGAATTAAAGACAAGCCCACTAAAAATCCAGGTATCTAGCAGGTCCTATCTAGCCAAAATATTGGAACAGATGGAATTTTTCAAAGCATCTCCTCCACTTATCTAGCTTATATAATACAGTCACAACACTGAGAACCCAAACATTCTTCCCCCAAATGGTGTCCATGAGACCACAGAGTTTTGTTGTTGTTGTTTGTGTTGTTTTATGTGTTTTTTTTTTTTTTTTTTTTTTTGAGTTGGAGTTTCACTCTTGCTGCCTAGGCTGGAGTGCAATGCTGTGATCTTGGCTCACCGCAACCTCCACCTCCTGAGTTCAGGCAATTCTCCTGCCTCAGCCTCCCGAGTAGCTGGGATTACAGGCATGCATCACTACCTCACCTGGCAAATTTTGCATTTTTAGGAGGGAAGGGGTTCCTCTATGTTGGTCAGACTGGTCTCGAACTCCCGACCTCAGGTGATCCACCCACCTCCGCCTCCCAAAGTGCTGGGATTACAGGCGTGAGCCACTGTGCCTGGCTCTGACTCCTAGAGTTTACCACATGAACGAGCTGTTCTGAAACCTGGACCCCAGCAACTTGCCCACCATCTAGAACCCTTGGCCCCTCCTGATTTCCTCGTGACTGCTCTGCTCTAGCCAGCATAAGCTCCCCGTCTGCATGGGCAGCCCTTCAGTTGTGACACTGTGAGGGCAAGTCAGTGGCTCAGGACAAACAGGCACTTTGTGGGAAGCCTGCACTTATTTGCTCTCCTCACCTCCAACCCGCTTGTCTCCCTGGCATTGCTGGTAAATGCCACCATGACACTGAGCAGATTTACAAATAACTAGCAAGGAGGGAAGGAGGGAGGGAGGGAGGCTGCCACTGGGCACACCAGAGTACAGGGCAGAGACTAAGCTCTTCGAGTAGTCAAATGTTTGCCCAAAGAAGCATCAGTGGGGATCAGTTACTATGGGCATCACTAGAGGTTGCACCCAGCAAAAGTTGCCCTATTGACTTTGACCTTAACCAGTAGGGCCTCCCACCATCTGACCCAGGGGAGCTTCTCTGCTAGAGCTAGAGGCCTCTGCCCCATGCCCTGCTGTAGCCAGACTGGCTCACCAAGGGCCGGGAGCCACACTGCCAGCATCACAGTGCCCTCATCCAAGGCAGTGGTGCTGCTGGGCCTGGATGACTGAGCTGAACCGGAGCAGAACAGGAGACAGCACCAAGATGGGAAAACTGAATTCAACAAGGAAATGAAAGGAGGGCGACGGTGGCAAAATCCCAACTCTTGCCTGAGATAAAGTCAGAAGGGACCATAATCCAGCTTGATTAATGTGACCCCTGATGGTCTGCAAACAAACATTTCCTACCATCAAGTCCACGAGCATTGATTCAGCATCTACTAGGCTGGCCCACGGAAGCATTTAAAAGAAAGAACGGAGCATGGTCTCCCAACTCAAAGGCCTTAGCTCGTGTCGTGTTTTGTTTCTAACAGTTACTCATGAGTTTCCTGTCGGCTGCGGGAACTCAAGAGGCTCAAAAGCAGTGAGCTTAAAGAAGCCAAACCAGGGAGAATAAATTGAGGACAAGGACACTGGGCCTTGAACTCAGCCTCAGGGGACAAAGGAAAGTGAAAGGGCCTTGCAAGGCCATTGGGGTCTCAAGCTGCATTTTTCCTGACTTCTGAGTTTCTCAAGGCTGTCCCTCTGCTGCCACTTAAAAAAAAAAAAAAAAAAAGACACAGAAACTCTAAGTATCTTTTCACTTCCGCATCCGTGGCCATTCCCAAAAGCTGCCCAATTCCTGGAAAATGGCCTTTGTTTCTATTACACGTGAGCCAACATGTACCAACCAAAGGGTGGAAAGTGCCGGGCCTAGCCCCGGGGAGACAAAGGTGACCCAAGGGGTCTTCAGGCCTCCCAGGGGCCCAGTGAACACAGGGTAAAAAGAGAACTAATCCAGGGATGTTTCCAAGGACCAGCAATGCAATGAGGAAAGTGAGGCAATCTCTCAGGGAAAGGAATTTTGGCTTGTCATAGAGGAATGCATAGG